GCTGTTTACATGTCAAAATTTGCCAAATTGTTACTAAATGTTTGGCCACAGCAAGGCTACGTATTCACAACTTATTGTGGTAGGCACAGTATAACTCATGCTTCTGGACTGAGGGAGGGCCGTATTCCTCCTTGTGGGTCACCTGCTTGGCAATATGGGACGGGAAAACTGCAAGTTGATGGTACAGACAGATAACAGAGATCATTTTACAAATGTGAAACCTCATTCAACAAAGGATGAGGCGAAAGCTGAAACTTGGTGAGATTTACAGAACAAAGGCAGTTATTTCTAGTTTTTTACTGACTCTCGAGGATACATTTAATAAAACAATTAATAATTAATTTTGTGTGTGTGTGTGTGTGTGTGTGTGTGTGTGTGTGTGTGTGTGTGTGTGTGTGTGTGTGACATCCCTTCGTGCACTTGTGCTTCCTACTCAAGTTACTTACGTACAAGATATATATTACGCTGAGGAGAATTTACGATTTAACGTTGATACGTCTAACTGCTGGTCTGGTTTGTTTGTTTGTTGTTCAACGCCGCACTCAGCAATATTCCGGCGGTCTGTAAATGTTCGAGTCTGGACCAGAGAATCCAATGATTGACATCATGAGCATCGACCCACGCAATTGGGATACGATAACATCCATCAACTAAGCTACTGAGAATGCCCCCTCAGAGGACAAACATTCTGTGGTAGCGCGGCGGTGTTGACCAGAGGCTATCAGCAGTATTTCCTGTCCAGGTTATTTAGGTCCGTTGTGTGTTTGCGTGCGTGCGTGCGTGCATGCGTGCGTGCGTGCGTGCGTGCGTGCGTGCGTGCGTGGATATATATGTGTGAGGGAGGGGGTGTGGGGGTGAGAGTGGGGGATAGATGATGGATATAACAACAAGTAAGGTCATCTTGAGCGGGACAGTTTTCGTAGATGGATTAGCATATGAACTATGATTCTCCTTAGGTAGAAAATAAAGATCCACGATGTTCGACCTGGAAGAAGTGTGTAATCAAACCGCACAGCATTGGTCTTTGATTGACTGTAGCGTCAAAAAAACTCATTCATGTACTTGATCTGAATGTTCATCTTAATTGTTATGGATAGTCACGGAGCCGGGATCCAGAGAACAGGGTGTCATTAGATAAAAATGAAGTAATAATAGGATTACCAGAAAAACGGGGTATAACACCCAAGCCAATAAGCTTCGCTCAGGAACACCAGAGTAAGTCAGTACAAGATTGAAAACTGCCCCATAAGTATGTATGACAGGCTAGTCGGGTATTGCTACTTGTATATGTGAAAACAAAGTTATCAAAATGAATAGCAAAACTGATGAAAGTCACCAATAAACGTGTATAAGTGTTATATCGTCACTGCAAAAATAATGAGTGTTTGTTTTTAGTATTAACATTCAAAAACGTGATATCTGTATTAGCGATATTGTCTACGTTCCAGCGGCGCGTAAGCGTTAGGCTTACTATCTCGTAGTATAAATGTTGCAAGAAATTGTATTTCTGAAGACATCACGATACAGATTTTACGATGCATCGCGTCTGCACTAGCGCTCAATAACAGCCTTGTGATTGGGTGTTTCAGTAGTTTAAATTGCTGCTCTTGATATTGTTGATTAAACTTTGATACTATGAACAATATAAGGTAATATGAGAGTATGACTTTAGAACGGTAACATGCGTTAATGTATATCTGATCTATATACAGGATGACATAAATAGAACAATGCGTAGTACGTCCAGATTAGTGTATAGACAAAATCTAATAATTAAATTCAACAACTCTCCTTTTTAAGTCTTTTTTCCTGACTTAAAAGTAAATGAAAGAACACAATCGTCCGGAATACAATGTATAATTCTGGTGTACTTCCATGTGACTGTATAGCATACAATAAGCTTATGGGTCCCGTTTGGATCGGTTTGGGTGGCAGCTTAGATATCCATAAAATAGGTTCATCTCGGAATCTCCCATATAACTGGGGCTCCTCTTCAATTTCAATGGAGTTACTTGTTTTTTTTCAAAACTATACAGTTTTAGCATTAGTCTGAATAGACATCACCAGTTTGGAATTTGAAACTAATCTTTTTAAAAGCCGGTTGATATTCGTTTGCGTATTTGACGATTATATAACTTTCGAAAGTAAAAACGTTTTCCTATTCTCAGACGTTCCCGAGCCTTGCGCTTTTCTAATTATTTTGACTAAAATTATTACCGTTATCATTGTATTAGTTAATGGGAAACGCGTGCGGATCAAGTACGTGCAATAAATTAAAGCGACATTGTACGATTCCGAACTTATCACGAGACTGTGTTTATGAATCATTGTCAGATAGTGGTGACATAGTGGAAACAATACGCGAAATCGCGCATGCACAGAGCGGAAAATTTGGACAAGGCATTAAGCAATCCGCATGCGCAGAACGATTGATTTCAGTACTTCCGCTAAGCGCTTCGAGTACAGCGTCAAACTCGGGCCTGTAATCTAACACGCGAGAATTGACCAATGAAATCTGAGAAGTAGGAATACCGGTAGACGCTGTTGCTTAATTGGCAATGCCAATCAAGACAGAGAGGAGCTTGATGATATCGTTCTCTCCCAGTAAATTCCGATGTCAAATAACGGCGTTATTTGGACGGAAAAACGATGGTTTAAAAGCGTCCAAATAACGTCGTTTTTCCGTACAATGACCATATACGGGAAAAAAAGACGCTTTCGTGTTTGCAGTGTAACTCGTAATAGCCACTGGTCGCGCACCGATCGAGTGCAGAAGTTCCAGCCTAGTTCGGCAATTGTAGAAACTGGACTTTTACAGTCAGTTAACGCCCTTCTCTCGGAAAGATACAAGAGGCCTACGTCTTTTCTTTTTCAATTATAATTGACAGACAAAGTTAGTTATCAAGCATTAATTTCAACAGCTATTGTCGAGATCAGCAGACCCCTGTATTTGTCAGAGTTGCATAGTTGCCTCCCTTAAACGTGCGGGATGCGCTGATCCTGTGTTTGGACACCAGATTTGCCCAGACTTCAGCTGACCTGCTCCTTGTTTTATCAGCACTTTATAGTGCAGGTTTGTAAGTGTAGGGTGAAACACTCCTCCGAGGTTGTGGTTGAAAATGTAAAACCACGAGGGAGGGAAATGCCCGGGGTCCGAAGACCCGAGGACTTTCCCGAGCTCGGGGGTTTACATTTCAACCCAAACCGAGTGTTTTATCAAACAATGCAAGATATTTCAGAAACATAACAAAACATCGCGATACCTTCTAGTGAAATAATACACTGTGTTGTGTATAAAGGTAATTCGATCGAAGCGTGCGAAAGGGGGACCATAATTAAAAGTTCCATTCCTTGTCTTCGATTTTAGAACATTGGACGTTAACAGTTTCTCCTCAACTCATCAGGTCTTACTGGGAAAAAGTGAAACCTCATACCCGTGATGAAGTCTTACGAGGAAAAAGTGAAACCTCATACCCGTGATGAGGTCTTACCAGGAAAAAGTGAAACCTCATACCCGCGATGAGGTCTTACCAGGAAAAGGTAGAACCCCATACCCGGGATGAAGTCTTACCAGGAAAAAGTGAAACCTCATACCCGCGATGAGGTCTTACCAGGAAAAAGTAAAACATCATACCCAGGATGAAATCTTACCACGAAAAAGTATAACTTAATACCCGTGGTGATCATAGACCATAATGCAAAGTTCCATTCCTAGCTTGTCTTCGATTTTATAATACTGGACGTTAACAGTTTCTACTCAACTCATCAGCTCTTACTGGGAAAAAGTGAAACCTTATACCCGTGATGAAATCCTACCAGGAAAAAGTAAAACCTCATACACGGGATGAGGTCCTACCAGGAAAAAGTAAAACCTCATACCCGGGATGAAGTCTTACCAGGAAAAAGTAAAACCTCATACCCGGGATGAAGTCTTACCAGGAAAAAGTAAAACCTCATACCCAGGATGAAATCTTAACACGAAAAAGTATAACTTTATACCCGTGGTGATCAAAGTTCCATTCCTTGTCTTCGATTTTATAACACTGGACGTTAACAGTTTCTACTCAACTCATCAGCTCTTACTGGGAAAAAGTAAAACCTCACACCCGGGATGAAGTCTCACGAGGAAAAAGTAAAACCTCATACTCGGGAGGAGGTCTTACCAGGAAAAAGTAAAACCTCCCAAGACGTGATAACGAGATAGGAATATACTTACAATACAATAGGCAAAAGTGGCAGGAGCATTATAATTAAGATGGCATTTGGTTGCTCGAGTTTGACTTTGTCTACCATAATTATAAAAATGACCGCCACTTCCTATGGATGTATTGTCCTTCATCTTCGCCCTAGGACCGCCTCCGTGGTCTAGGGGTTCGAGCCCCGGTCGCGTCATACCAAAAGACGTTGAAAGATGGTACTTGTAACCCTGTCTGGCGCTCGGCATTAAGGGGCTGTTCGGATCGGAGTATACTGTGTCTGAGCGGGGTATTCATGTTAAACTGCGGCATGGTATCTCAGTGAGGTAGCGCTATAAACTGGCTTCAGTCCGGACAAGTACAAGCAGCCACACACACACACATACTCTCACATACTCTCACACACACACACACACACACACACACACACACACACACACACACACACACACACACACACACACACACACGTGCATGCATGCACGTCGCTATATGAGATCAATAATCTTGGACACGACGTTAAAACCAATTTTACCTCACCTCACCTCACCTCACCTCACCTCACCTCACCTCACCTCACCTCACCTCACCTCACCTCACCTCACCTTCCCCCCTAGAACATAGTCCAAACAGAGAATGACTTTCATGTTCAACAAGCCGAACATACCAAACACATTTCAGGATATGAAATAAACAGAAACGCAAGCCACATATTTACCCGTGCCGTATAGTTGCTAGGCGCTGTATACGCAAGTCAATGCATTATGTAACAGGTACATCTTTTCCACATCCGCTCCTCTGTCTATTTAAAAACGAGTTATACGAAGCAGTCGTGTTACAACAACACACAGATGAATTTGTCATGTCTGTAAAACACGTCTGAAACCTGACCTGTCTTACGAATAACCGGAGGGTATGTGCATTCATCATCATGTGACTACGCGACGTCGCCTGGGACAAGACGAACACGCACGAAGTACCTCCGCCTCCACGATCCGCTAGCAGTACACCATCAACAAAGTCGTGTTGTGTGAAAGTATGTGGGAAAACCTAAACTTGTTGTTTCTGGTCAGCCTGGTCGGGGTGAGTTGTTATAAGGTGTCGCTAACGAAACAGTCCACCCTGTACATACCGTCCTCCTATGGAATAGATGGAGCTGCTCTCTACACACTCTTCAGTGGTCTTGAGCAGATGGCGTTTGACTCTGACAACAGGCTTGTCTACATGGCCGGTAAGTGTGAACTGGTTAACGTCCTTGTCTTGGCAAGCCGAAGACTCTGCATCAAAAGCCTCCCTTGAGGTCATTTAGGAGATAAACATACATGTTTTCAACGTAGAGCTAGGTTACCTGTAGATTTAACCGCGCTAAATTGAATTTGAAACCGAATTTGTTTTTGCGTAAATGTGGGATAAGCTGTGTACACTGGTAGGCTCGCATACTTGTCGACATGTGCGCAGTCACGTATGGGGACACATTAACCTGACGTGAAAGGGTTTCCTAACTGCATCCTGCACGACAACTGTGTGAGAATAATATGTAGACTCAAGTCCATATCAGATTATATGTATTCATGATTTGTCATTTGCCATCACTGACCGAAGTGGCTATCACTCACTGGCCTGCTAGCCTACACGATACTTTACCTGCCTGCTAGCCTACGGTTTAATTACCCATTGTCCTAATTACACGATCTGAGTCATTCTCTCATACATATACATTCATTAATATTAAGTAGAATCCCTGTTTGGAAATTGGCGCTTGAGCGTGGAAACTATCAACTGTATGACAAGAGGGATGACCTCAACTTTCCAGACCGCCTCCGTGGTCTGGTGGTAGAACGTCCGCCCGGAGAGCGGAAGGTCCGGGGTTCGATCCCCGCCCGCGTCATACCAAAAGACGTTAAAAAATGGTACTTGTTGTTACCCTGTCTGGCGCTCGGCATTTGAGGCTAAAACAAGGGCTGGTCGGCTCGGAGTCAGTATACTGTGTCTGAGTGGGGTATTCATGTTAAACTGCGGCATGGTATCTCAGTGAGCTGGCACTATAAATCGGCATCAGTCCGGACTAGTACAAGCAGCCACACAAACATACGTGCATGCACGTCGCTATATATATATCTTGGAAGTGACGATAAACCCCATTTCACCTCACCTCACCTCAACTTTCCACTTGTCAACTTTACCTTTTATGTCGAGCAATATCCCAGCAGCTCAAACATTTTGTGTCATTTCACAACTTTGTTGGTACAATCAAGGATGGTCTTTCCACCAAGATTTCAAAGAATGTCATACGACTCTTGCACGAAGGTTTTTGATCAGGGTTACAACAATTTAAGCCCATGGTAAATCTTCCAAAGGTCTCATGGTAGAAATGTGGACGACATTCTAGTGAACAATTGATTTGCCTTTGCATGTGTGTTTCACGGGTGCCACAGCTTGGTCAGGAGTTCTTCGCGAACACCTGGTGTCATCACTATATAATTGTGATTCATAAACACATGCTTAAGATAAAGTCGGAATCGTACATTGGACTCAAGAAGAGAGATGGTATTTCTTATGAAATAGTTTTCTCTCTTGTTATTGGCATACCATAAATCAAACATACATTCCTTTGCTCTCGTCATATTTACAAGAAACTTGATGTGCTTCTCATTTCTGATACAGTTTTGGGACATCAGAAACGAATAAATATTTTAACGAAGTATTGTAATAATTATTCTTAAACTGTAAATTTGGATTTTGGGAGTATCCTTTAAAGGTGTGATGAGTGGTATGTGACAAATATCGTCTTATAAGTATTTGGATGTTTGGAACACTCATATTACCAACGCTGCTACACAGTCTTAAAAACTCTTGTAAGCCTTGAACCTGTTCCGGTGCGGTCGGGTAGCCCAGTGGTTAAAACGTTAGCTCGTCACGCCGAAGACCCGGGTTCGATTCCCGACATGGGTACAATGTGTGAAGCCCATTGCTGGTGTCCCCCGCCGTGATATTGCTGGAATATTGCTAAAAGCGGCGTAAAACCATACTCACTCACTCACTTGAACCTGTTCCACATAGTTTGTTCTCAGAATATTTGACACTAAAGTTTTGTCTGTTCTTATATATAGCTCTGAAATCTGGGGTATTGACTAAAAGGAAATTGAATCTGTACACTTGCTAGACTGCAACCATTTCTAAGGGTTAAAGGTACTACACCAGAATATGGGAGAATCCCCTTTACATGTTGGCTTTTACACGATGTCTTAGCTACTGGTGTTAATTATATAATAAAAAAGCCTGAATAGTTTCCTAGAAAATGTTATAATATGCTGTACCAAGCTTAGACAAATGACGAGTGTAGCTGGGCTTCAAAAAGATTAAGGTTGTACAGTAAAAGCATGGTTTTGGATATATTGGAAAAAAAAGAAGTTGGCTTTCGAGAGTAATTTTTATCGGAATTTGCCTCACGTTTACATTTTTTTACAAGACTGGCTCTCTTCACTCACAGATAGCTCTAAACTGTTTACTCACGCACTGTTCAACCCTGAATTTGTTGTAGAGCCTTATATTGCTCTGATATCGATTAATAAATTTCGATATGTATGAGCTCAATTTCGCTGTAGCCCTCATACTCACACATAGTCATGTTCATGTTTTGTACCATGTCCCCTATGTACAAGAAATCATCTTCTTCTTCTACTCTTCGTATCGAGACGGGACAGTATCACTTAACACCAAGAGAGCAAAGATTAGATCACGTTTGTAAACAGGGTTACATTTAAAGTGAATATCAGTTTTTATTAGTGTGTCAAATGTGTAATTTTCGAAAACAGTCTGTACCTTCGAAATACTTTATCCTACCCTTGAATATACTCATGTCTTTGAAAAATCAATGTCTTATAAGAAATGTCGCTGAATACATTTCATCATATATATCATGCGATGCGCTTGATAATGTCCTTGCTAATAGAATCCACCAAAGACTAACATCTGTATTTACAACCTAGAGTTTATTCAAGCTGCATTACTTATCTTGTAGGGGTTTCACGATAAATCGATATATTGCTATTGGTAAGCACTTAAAAGTCAGTAATCGATTGTTAAATCAGTTTCCGATCAATAGTATCGATTTCAGTTAGGAATATCGATAGTTTCGATTGTATTTACCATATCAATAAAATACATGCAATGCTGTTCAAATTTGTTTTACTTTTGACTCTGAGTGGTAGTAAAGTACACATGGTAATGTGTAAGTTATTAGGGTAAAGAAAAAACTTTACTTTTTATCTGTTGTTATAGTTATCACATTCAAAGGAAACTTCAGTTCCAAGGTTTAATTCAACTCTTAAATCCATCGAAAATGATACGCGGAAAACTATCGATATTTATCGCAATAGTTGCTTGCAATATCAATAGTTATCGCAATAGTTGGTTGCTTGCAATATCAATAGTTATCGCAATAGTTGGTTGCTTGCAATATCAATAGTTATCGCAATAGTTGGTTGCTTGCAATATCAATAGTTATCGCAATAGTTGGTTGCTTGCAATATCAATAGTTATCGCAATAGTGATTTCCAGACCAATAGTCACCCCTACTATATTGCGTATGGGCCAGGAGCGTCCGATGTACCGATGACCCACATATATGCAAATAAATAAACATTATATAAACACACGTGATTGGGGTGTGACGCACGGACCTGCGACGAGTGTACCTTGAAATCAAACACTGTGTAACCAATGGCGAAGTCTTAAGTGCTGCTATAAAAGACAATCACAGCAAGTGCACTTCATAGCGGGACAATCCAGAGAAAGCTGTAAAATCGTCTTCCGACCATTACACCCTGCTCTCAACCAAACAGCATGAAAATATTTTTGTTATCGCTTTTTTGTGTTTGGTCACATTTGGATGTCGATGGGTTCGAAGTCAAATTAAGGAAGCAGTCAACGATATATGTGCCTTATTCTTATATCAACGGCAGTGCCCACTATGGCCTTTTGACAGCACCAGCAGAACAAACCACTTACGACTACATCGACAAAGTAGTGTATACAGTTGGTAAGTATAACCGCGTTTAGGTAAATATACACTGTGTGTTTCATGACCATATATACTAAAATTGCAATATAAAGAAATATTCTTACTTGTAGGGACGGTCGGGTAGCCTAGTGGTTAAAGCGTTCGCTCGTCACGCCGAAGACCCGGGTTAGATTCCCGACATGGGTACAATGTGTGATATTGCCAGAATATTGCTAAAACCATACTCACTCACTCTTACTTGTAAACATCTTTCAATTTCTACCGTAAGTGATTGTGATGTATATATTCTAAATGATTAGATGTCGGTATTTGAGTTTATATGGGTTGGTTCCACGGCAACTTTAATGGTAATTTACTGTTTTTTACTATTCCTGTTTCTTTACTCAAGGATGTATGTTGACTAAATCGCTGATCTTTATTCTGCTTAAAATCCTTTAATCAAGTCGCTATCGATGAAATAAATGTTCGTGGGATCGATTAATAGCTCGCGTCCATACCTGTGCGCGTGGTAAGACCTGCAGTCTGAAAGCAGTTTATAGCGTTAAGCTGACATGTTGTATACACAAACACACTGCTCAAGACACGCCCACCCAAGTTGTTTATTTAAGTGTCACTTTCTGTAGAGTTATATGATGCAGATTGCATTCTTCTTGTAATTAAAAATACAGTAAATAGCTAAATGTGCAGAAGCCACCAGGAGGTTATGAGAGACTAGTAAAATCAATGGAAACAGATTGGTATAAATATTATTAAAATGCATACAATTCAGTACAATACAGTACAATACAGTTCAATACAGTACAATAGCACGTGTTCCCGCACGATCATACTTGCACATGATCTATCACAAACACACGTAAACACACGCATCCACGCACACAAACGTGCACACACACATAATACTATCAGTTTCAACATATACTATACTCTAACATATATTCCAACAGGAACAATAATATGTGTATGCAAAAAGGTCAAGACAACATTTTGCGTCGTTGATACATGGTTATAGCGGTGTTACAAAGTTTATGAATACTGCCTGGCGTATTTATGAGGAGCATAAACTTTTCGACTTGTAAGGAGTTGTTAAAAGATGAGATCATGTCATTCAATTGTATTTCCGTTAACATACAAGAGCGTAAGTCAGTGCATATATCACATTTTATGAGGAGTGTATTTCATTTTCTACTTCATCTGGGCAGAAAGGACACCCCCTGTCGTTGAGGGGTACTGGGATCGACTGTTCCGAATTTATTTGGTTCCGAATCTATATTTAGTTGCAGGCTGCCGCAACGAAATTGAGCAAATATCTGTCTTTTTTTCGAGGAATAAGTTTACTTTGCACGTGGGCTTCTGGTTTCAAGCCTTTCTTTGTGAGGCTATATGTCCGGAGTTTGTTACCGTTGGGGTTACCTTGGCCATTCCACAATTCACAGAACCAATTTCTTTCATCTAGCATTCGGCAAGATCTGGACTCAATTGACATGAAACGGCAATGAACAATTTCTCCAAATCATGCCCGTTCATCACGACAGCGTCCCGATCCGCAGGACACTGTCCAGACAACACATGACATTGTCACGATTTTGATCCGATACAGCAGAATCTGTCACGACATAGTCACGGTGATAATCCGATGAGACAAAATCGGCTGAGTTTCCCGAATGTTACGGGACGCACCATACTGTCGGGAGTGCTTGGCAGACCTCTCTGGCCCATTCCCGATCCTTAGGACTCTGTTACGAACGTAAACGACTGCGTTCAGACACATTCGTCACCACTCGCCCCTTTCCGTAACCTGCAAGAAGGCTCGTCCCCCTCTCGGTGAATGTTATGTGCGAAAATACGACAAACCAATCAGAGTGCGCGTATGATTTCAAGTACTTCGTCAAAGAATCCCTCAGAAATAATTTTTGATTTTACATATGTCTTGCATCTAAAAATATACCAAAGACACAGTTAAATGTGTTCAATCGTATTGTATAATTCCGCACGTCCCGATGTGCTTTAAAAGGCATCTGAAATATATATAATATAATGGGAAATATATGTGAACCATTACGCAACGAATTGACAATTGTTTTAGTTATGCCCGTTTGCGCTAAGACGGAACCCGGTCGCAAAAATGGCCACGAGAGGGGCACGAGTCGCTATTCGGCTTGTCCCGGAATAACACGAGTTGGTCGCGAATGCGTTCAGACAATCATAGGACATTCCAGATCATTGAGGATAGTAATCCGACTTTTTCACTGTTCAAACGGGAGCCATAATCGATACTGTGTGAACGCAGCCTACGTAAGATTCAACTCAATGCAAACAAAATTCCGTGCGTAAACTAACACGTGGTGTCACACATGCTGTCACGCGTGTTCTCACTCTTGGCTCACGACTTCACTCCAACACGGAAGCGCATGGTTATCGACTGTAACATAATCGTTGGGGCATAACTCAACATTGACATCTTTACGAAGCCTATAAAGCTCGCCCCGGAACGTCTGTCTGTCTGTCTGATTGTTGTTTAACGCCGCACTTAGCAATATTCCAGGTATATGAAGGCGGTCTGAAAATAATTGAGTGGACCAGACAATCCAGTGGTTGGCATCATCAGTATCGATCCACGCAATTGGGATCGATAACATGCATCATCCAAGTCAGTGAGCCTGACCACCCGATCCCGTTAGTCGCCTCTTACGACAAGCATAGTCGCTTTTTACAGCAAACATGGGTTACTGAAGACCTATTCTACCCAGGATCTTCACGGGCCCTACGCAATTGGGATACGATCACATGCATCAACCAAGTCGGCGAGCCTGACTACCCGATCCCGTTAGTCGCCTCTTAAGACAAGCATATATCTTGTATGGTCTAATGTACTCGCATTTAAATGTCTGATAACAACTACCTTGTTAAAAGAATTGAAATGCCTGTCTGAATTTATATCGACTGTATTTAATGCCTTGAAATCCAAACACAAATCTACACAGCCATTCTGATGTACATATATTATTTATCCGCACTTTGTTTTGCTCTGGTACAACCGTTGGTGGTTTATGGAGAAATATAATGATTCTGAATCTGAATCTGAATAACAAGCATTGGGTGGTGAGAAAACTCAGCCGTGGCATTTGTGATTTTAAGGCATCTGAGAAATGAGTGAGTGTGTGAGTTGGGTTTAACGCCGCTTTTAACATTATTCCAGTTATATCACGGCGTGTCAGATTAATGTGGGAGGAAAGCCCCAAGTGATGCAGGTCTCAGACGTTTACCACTTCGGTGAAACACACGAGCACGGGTATGGTGCTGACAACCTAGAAACATAATCTGGGCGAACCCACAATCATAGTTTTCTGGCGTGCCCAAGGAGCGCAACTCTGCACAGCAAATCGCGGCGCCTTAGACCACTGGGCCACTACCTCTACTCCAGACCTTAATCTCTCCTTTAGGTCAGTTCATAATGCCAGACAGGTAAATGCCGCGTGTTGTTTTAACTAATTGTAGGGGAAATGGGTTGTAGGGGAAATGGGATGTAGGGGTTTTGGGAGATAACCGCGCTGACTGCTAATTGTAGGAAACAATGTTTGTGAAGTGTTACTCAACCTACTTCATGGTCTAATACATAGTCGAAACTTGATCACGCTATGGTGTTGTGTTAACGCACACCCCGGTGCAGTGACGAGTCTTTCAGCCTTACACACCTGTTGCTAACTTGCATTTCACGTGATCGGATCTACTGTAAACACACGTGTTTATTCTAAAATCGGCGCAGTCATCTCTGCACTCGTAAAACGTGTAAAAGAACTTATCGCTGTCTGTCTGTAGAGCTTCGATGTCTGCACATTGTAACTAACTGAAAACAAAGGATAAATAACTGAAAACAAAGGATAAATAACTGGAAACAAAGGATAACTAACTGGAAACAAAGGATAAATAACTGGAAACAAAGGATAAATAACGGATAAATAACTGGAAACAAAGGATAAATAACTGGAAACAAAGGATAAATAACTGGAAACAAAAGATAAATAACTGGAAACAAAGGATAAATAACTGGAAACAAGGATAAATAGCTTTTCGTTTTTCATGATATTTTCTCAATAAAAGTTTCATTTCATGACATATGTTTATATGTATATGTGTAGAGTTTATATGAAATAGATGAAAAACATGTGTAATTTGTTAAATGGTCAATATAAAATGGGACGAATCACAACATTTCGCTGGCCTTTGGCAGAGGTACCAGGTTCGCTGCAAGGAACTCAGTCCCATATGCTGGTCGTACGGATGATTGCGCGTCTTCTTACCCCGCTTGCGCTGATCGCCGCTCACAATATCGATCACAGGATTGTCTGGTCCAGATTCAATTATTTACAGGCCACCGTCAAATATTTGAAACATTGCTCAGTACGGTGTTAAATAAACACACACATTTGACAAAAATAGTTTACAAAAAACCTTCTGTGTACTCAATCGTGGTCGGCGAGTACAATGTGTGAATCCCATTGCCGTGATGTGAATGGTGAACCTTACTCACTCACTCACTCACTCACTCACTCACTCACTCACTCGATCGACCCGTGAAGATCTGGGGAAGAATAGGTCTTCAGCAACCAATGCTTGCCGTAAGAGGCGTCTATGCTGGTCGTAAGAGGCGACTAACGATATCGGGAGGTCAGCCTTGCTGACTTGGTTGATGCATGACATCGTATCCTAATTGCGTGGATCGATGCTCATGATGTCAATCACTGGATTGTCTGGTCCGGATTCGATTTTTTGCAGACCGCCGTCATATAGCTGGAATATTGCTGAATGCGGCGTTAAACAACAAACAAACACAACACTCACTCGATCCAGGGTTAAAAAGTCCTGAATCTCAAGTGACTCGTCTCAACCTTTCCTGACAGGCGGGACACTGCTCCATGCCATCGATGTGTCTGACCCAGACAACATGACAATCGTAGCCCACGTGGAGATGGCAGGAGTTGACTTCACGGACGTGGAGGTCTGTGGGGGTCACGTGTTCACGGCAATTGACGACAAGGCAAACAGAACCAATGGCCGGGTCATCATCTATTCCGCCTACAACGCCACATCAATGTCGATACCAGAGGTTCTCCAGATTCCAGGTGAGGAACTCCATTTACTCGACACATCATTTATCTCGAAATACGGAAAACTCGATATTGTCTCGGTAAGTCCGAATTTTTTACTTTTTTATTGTTTTTTATTTATTTGTTATTATAATTTTCGTTGCTTGATGAAATACTACTTATTTTAACAATTTAAAAAAATACTCTTTAAAAGAGCTTTAAGTGTGAAGCTTAATTGCGGCCCGAAATATACACCCTTCCACATTTCCACAGTACTCTAGGTTTTTCTAAGAGGTGCTCCGGTCGTTCCTTCAGTGAAGAGAGACCGCTATGACTGACATAACGAAAGCTACTATAGGGGAAGCCTCAACTCGTATACTCCCATGTTTTACGGGGCGGTCGGGTAGCCGAGTGGTTAAAGCGTTCGCTCGTCACGCCGAAGACCCGGGTTCGATTCCCGACATGGGTACAATGTGTGAAGCCTATTTCTGGTGTCCCCCGCCAAGATATTGCTGGAATATTACTAAAAGTGGCGTAAAACCTTACTCACTCACTCACTCACTACTCCCATGTTTACAGTGGGTGCTGTCCCCGACATGATAAAGCCTACCAAGGACTGCTCCCAGCTGATCGTGGCGGTGGAGGGGGAGGCGTACGAGAACCCCCCAAACCAGATCACTGATCCACAGGGTCTCGTCGTCATCATCAACTTCCCCAACACCATCAACAGCAGCTACACCAAGACATCGCTGGATTTCACAAAATTTAATGACAGGTGAGATCAGAGTTTACTGTATGTTATTTCCAAATAACTACATTTTCGTAATGTTCATTGTAATTCCTGCATTGTGATTAGCTGAATTGGTCACGTGTTCCCAATGAATGTAAAAAACCTAAGCTACGCCCACAGAAACGGACTACTTTTATTACTACGAAATTTTGGGGAATCCCAATATTTCAGTCGAGGGAATTTCTTTTCTGTTCAACCCGTGAAGATTCCGGGGTAGAATAGGTCTTCAGCAACCCATGCTTGCCGTAAAAGGTGACTACCCTTGTCGTAAAAGGCGACTAACGGGATCGGGTGGTCAGGCTCGCTGACTTGGTTGATACATGTAATCGATTCCAATTGCGTGGATCGATGCTCATGATATCAATTACTGGATTGTCTGGTCCAGACTCGATTATTTACAGACCGCCGTCATACAGCTGGAATATTGCTGAGTCAGCGTTAAACAACAAACCAACCAACCAACCAACCCTTTCTGTTCACGTGTATCGTCATGCAAGGGAAATTAGGCGAAATTCATGCACGTTCATTGTCCAAACCACCCTTTGAGATCGACAGCCTGATTCATGTCACGCCACAGTATGTATTCCTACACCTGGAATGTTTATCGATCTTGTCAGTATCGTTTACTTTGATATATACAACTGTCGTTGGTTAAACTATTGTAGATGACACATGTTTTCGTAGTCGAATTTAATTATAAGGATTGACTGAATTCTTTTCGGTTCATTGAGGTATGAATCGAAAAACCGATGTGCAAACGTTTATAAGAATCGACTGTATCGGTTTTTCGATTCATACCTCAATGAACCGAAAACGATCCAAAGCCATTTCCTTAATTGAAATACTATACAAATTGTATGATGATCCATCGTAAATCGTACAATGATTCGTTACTCGGAAGATTTATTTATCCACACGATTTCTCTGGGAACGGTACCATCCGGATAAACGAGGTTGCTACAAGACAAAAAAAACACATGTTTTGTGATGCTCCAGAGTGACAGAGCTCCGTCCGTCCGGCGTCCGTCACGTGTATCAGGAGAACGGCAACCCCTTCTCCAACGACGTGGAACCTGAGTACGTGGCCCTTAACGCTGACGAGACCATAGCATACGTCGTTCTGCAGGTAAATGTGACGGACTACTTTTGTACAGCGCATGGATATGTGTATTTTAGATATTCTCTTTGTTCATTGGTCAGTTCACGCCGTCACACAATGTAACACTACGCTATCAGAACTACAGATTGACATCATCCCTTTCTAAAGTTTGGATCGGTCACACACGTGTTGTCACTGTGGGGATTCCATAGTTTTAAGAGCCTGCCAAAATGAGGAATCGTTACTCATGTCATTAACCACGTATTTGTCTGGTACTAAAACGATAAGGTATTGTGACCGCGACAGATACATAGCTTACATATGTGATCTTCCCTTTCAAGCTCAGTGGTAAAACAAACATGACAAACCTGCTTTTTTGTCCTGTCGATTAACGCCGCACTCAACAATATCCCAGGACCAGATAATCCGTTGATTAATATTACGAGCAACGACCCCTTCTTCACCCCCCTTGTCAGGGAAAATGACGCAATGAACCAAGTCGCCGAACCTGATCACCCGATGCCTTAGGTCTCCCCTTTCGACCAGGAATACCAACGGCAGTCTCCTGTTCTATGTCCCTTTCTAAATTGCTGTTTTTAATTCTCATTCTTCAGGAAAACAACGCAGTGGCAACAGTGGATCTCGTCAACCAAAACATCACAGGCGTGCATGGACTCGGCTTCAAGGACTGGAGCAAGCTCACGCTTGACCCCTCTGACAAAGACCGAGGTAGGCGTGTGTGAGTGAGTGTTTACGCCGGTTTCAGCAATATGCCAACAATATCACGGCGGGGGAAACCAGAAATCGGCTTCACACGCTTTACCTATGTGGAGAGTCGAACCGGGGTCTCCGGCGTGACTACGAACATTTTAACACTTGTCAACCCCATCTCTCCCGATGTAGGACAACACATGTGGACTGATCCTGAGGTACTCTGTTCTGTTCATTGTTTATGATATATTGTTCTTTATGTCAGTAGCTGAGGGTCGTTCCTTTGAGTTATGTACGCTGCAGGATTTAACCACTTACCTCCCAGATCTTTACTTCATTGCATCGAAGAATATTTTAAAAGAAAAACTTCCATGTTCGAAAACAACATCGGTAGCAGGCCGCCATCTTGTTTTCCTAAACTGGTTCCGGTTATGTATTCTAAGGTTTTGGTCGATTAAATGAATGAGGGGATGCAAACACCGCACTCCCGTAACATAGAGTACTGATGCTACTTGAAACCATACCTTAATTTGTTTCCCTTTACCAATCTGAGATCACTGCAGCTGTGTGCATAGCAGGTGCCTTCCGTCACCCCTACTCTGTAATGGGTATGTACCAATCACGTTTGTCCCATTTGAGAGCACGAAGTGTATTGAAGAGATCTTCCTAGCCCCTACTCTGTAATGGGTATGTACCAGTCCGTTTTGTCTCATCTGAGAGCACGAAGTGTATTGTAGATGCCCCGACACCCCTACTCTGTAATGGGTATGTACCAGTCCGTTTTGTCCAATCTGAGAGCACGAAGTGTATTGTAGAGACCTGCCTACACCCCTACTCTGTAATGGGTATGTACCAGTCCCATCTGAGAGCACTGCGGATGTGTATATTGCAGGTGCGTTCCAATACCCCTACTCTGTAATGGGTATGTACCTGACCGACTCAGCAGTGTACTTCCGCTTCAAGGGCGTTGATTATCTTCTGATGGCAAACGAAGGGGACGCAAAGGATTATAAATTTGGTACCTACAAGTGGAGCGAGGAAGAGAAAGCTGGCAAGCTCAGCGAAAGCAGTAAGTCACTGATATCGTATATAGTCGATATAAATATGTATAAAGTCGTAAATATAAAACGTCAACGTCACAGAATAACCAGTCTCGATTATCCACCGAAACAGATGCCATTGAGCGTAAAGGGCAAAATAGCGTCGAAGATCTTATGAATGGATCTGTAGTGACACCAGGTGTTCGCGAAAAGGGTATACTAAGCATGTCCTGACCTACCTAAAATCATTGTTTACTCGACCCGTGAAGATCCGGGGTAGAATAGGTCTTTAGTAACCAATGCTTGCCGTATAAGGCGACTATACTTGTCGTAAGAGGTGACTAACGGGATCGGGTGGCCAGGCTGGCTGACTTGGTTGATTCATGTCATCGTATCCCAATTGCTTGGATCGATGCTCATGGTGTCAATCACTGGATTGTCTGGTCCAGACTTGATTATTTACATACCACCGGCACTCGGCTGGGATATTGCGGAGTGCGGCGTTAAACAACAAACAAACATTTTTTACTCCGTGTTGATGTTACATTTCGTGATGGCTTATGACACCCTGCCTCATAGTAGACCAGATTGTGGCTGTGGAGTGAGCGAGTTGGATTTGACGCCGCTTTTAAAAGTATTCCAGTCATATCACGGCGTTTCAGCTTAATGTCGGAGCAAAGCGCGAAGTGACGCATGTCTCAGACGTTTACTACTTCGGTGAAACCCACGAGCACGGGTATGGTGCTGACAACCCTAGAAACATAATCGGGGCGAACCGAGATTCGAACCCACCATCATAGGTTTCTGTCGTGCTCAAGGGACGCAACTCTGCACATCGAATTGCGGAGCCTTAGACGACTGGGCCATCCATGGCCCCGGCTGCTGACTGAGAATTTAAATATATAGACATTACGTTATTACCGCAACCATTAATAAAGTGTTGATAATAGAGAGCTAATTGCATTGGTGGGTGTATCCTCCATGTTTTCTTTACGCCAGGCAATAATCTCTTTGTATCCCACATGCCCGAAGGTGTCAAAAGGTGACAATATCGTGTTTTATCCCCGACTTGACTAGTCACATACGTGATATTTGTTCTAGTACTGCCTACCCTGGATGCCACCACAAGGGATCAGCTGACACGTGACACTCTCTTAGGTAAGAACCCTTTGTGGATTCGGGTTTGGTTAGTGACTTTCCGTTATATGACGACGTTTTATCAGTAATGCAGGAAACCCGTGAAGATCCAGTTAGAAAAGGTCTTCAGCAACCCATGTTTGCCGTAACCATGCATGCTTGTCGTAAGAGGTGACTGACGGGATCGGGTGGTCAGGTTCGCTGACTTGGTTGATGCATGTCACCGTATCCCAATTGCGTAGGACCCGTGAAGATCCGGGGTAGAATAGGTCTTCAGCAACCCATGCTTGCCGTAAAAGGCGATTATGCTTGTCGTAAGAAGCGACACGGGATAGGATGGTCAGGCTCGCAGACTTGGTTGATGCATGTCATCGTATCCCAATTCCGTAGAACGATGCTCATGATGTTAATATCACTAGATTGTCTGGTCCAGGCTCCATTATTTACAGACCGCCGTCACAAAGCTGGAATAGTGCTTCATTAAACAACAAACAAACACACTGTTAGAGCGTAAGCATATTATTGGTTGCGCATACTTCTCATGTGAGTACAGGCTTAACGTAGTATTTACTCATGTTCAAACAGGTCGTTTGACGGTGTCCGTATCGCCCGCCGGTAAAAACTCGTCCGGGAATCTTGAAGCTCTCTACGCCTACGGTGGGCGGAGTTTCTCCATCAGGCGAACAGATGATATGTCTTTGGTGTATGACAGCGGCGATGACCTTGCAAGAAGACTTTACGTCAATAACAAGGACCTGTTCAATGGCCATTTAGGAGATGTATCTCACAGACCATTTGAAGACTTTGACCTACGATCTAGAAGCAAAGTAAGAAGTGATAACGTGTAACTTGCACGCACGCACGCACGCACGCACGCACGCACGCACGCACACACACACCAGTTATTTCAGTTATGTCACCGGGATGTTATTAATGTACCAATATGATGACAATCAGTGAATACCTGTATATTTGCTTTAATTGATCAAATTGTATGTATCGTCCTGTCCTGCATTACGGGCAATCCCAGCATAGTAATCGGCTGAAATAGATTCGTCAAACATAAATCGCAAAACAATCCTCTCTGCACATGTTACACTTCTAAAATTTAATCCTTGGGGTTGGGCGGGACAAGTTTCATCCAACGGGTACAAAAAAGATTGCCCCTTGAAACGCCCCAACCATGTTTTAAATCATATAACCTTCCCGAAGAACGCAAATTAACCCGAAGAGTCCGCTTTCTTGAACCTGATCTTTAACCTGACCTTGAACCTAATTTAGCCCTAACCTTGACCTCACCCTAAACTTGACCCAGCTCATGGCCTTGACCCTGACCTTGGCCTTGACCCTGACCCTGAATCGAACCTCATTTTGTGACTGTCCCTGATTCTCTGTCCGTGGTTGTAGGGAATGGAGACAGAGGCAGTCGAGACGGGGGAGGTAGAGGGAAGGACGCTGCTGTTCGTGGCCAACGAGCGTCCCGGCACCATTTTCGTCTACTCATTAGACACCGACGTGATGAAACCAGAGTTTCACGACATCTACAGCGGCATCCCAGATACAAGGACAAGGTCCTGGCAAGAAATGTACGATGATCGCCAGCTCTCTGAGATTGACTGTGAAGACATCAAGTAGGTTCGGAGTTGTACTGAAAAACAATACCTTTACCTGTTGACTGTATTATTTATTCCTCGATTTCATCCCAGCGTTGAATCAGTATGGAAATAATAAATAACATTGAACACACAATGCCATTAAGGAAGTGGTCAAATGTAACAAATTGTTACATTCAGATTAACTCTTTCTCAGATTCGAACCCACACTGTCAGACTGAGGAACCTAATCGCCAGCACACAAAGTCAGCGATCTAACCTACTCAGTACCAAATTAAGATAATCTGTACTTTACTAATGCAAGAATAACATTTGTTACATTTGACCACTTTCTAAACGGCATTGTGTGTTCATAGCTTTCGGCCCTGGGAGCCGTGCCAATTTACACTTGTCAGAGGGGTACACAAAGTACGTGATCTAGACTACCAGTTGTCAGACTTATATTTCGTGGAAGCCTCGGTGGCTGAGTGGATTAATCGCTGACTTTGTTTGCTGGAGATAAGGTGCTTCACTCTAGCAGTGTGGGTTCAAAACAACCCAAAATGTACTCTACTTCATGTTTTCCGGATATAACATTTGTTACAATAAATAACATTACTCGGTGTCAACCGTAAACTCTGTTGTCATTATTTTGAGGGTCTCCAATAACACAACACAATAGATTAATCGTTGGCATTGATGACAACTATACAGTCATTGCTTACTTTTGTGCTGGGCGATCAGGTAGCCTAGTGGTTAAAGCGTTCGCTCGTCACGCCGAAGACCCGGGTTCGATTCCCGGCAATGGTACAATGTGTGAAGCCCATTTCTGGTGTCCCCCGCCGTGATATTGCTGGAATATTGCTAAAAGCGGCGTAAAACCAAACTCACTCACTCACTACTTTTGTGCTGCTCCAGGTTTGTGGCCGGTGACAAAAGTCCAACAGGCAAGCCAGTTCTGTTCGTCACTGGATCCGTCACCGGAACTCTCTCTATCATCAACGTAGACGGTAGGTCACCAGCATATGTGTCAGCCACTGAATGCTTATCCACCACTTATCCTTCACTACAAGGGGGCCCGTGAAGATAGGGGTAGAATAAGCCTTTAGCAACCCATGCTTGACCTAAAAAGCTTGCCGTAAGAGGCGACTAACGGGATCGGGTGACCAGGCTTGGTTGATGCATGTCATCGTATCCAATTGCGTAGATTGATGCTTATGGTGTCAATATTACTTGATTGTCTGGCCCGGACTCGATTCATTACAAACCGCCGTCATGGAATATTGCTGAGTGCGGCGTTAAACAACTACAAACGGCCAAGCCGTAATTCGCTGCGCAGAGTTGCGTCCCTTAAGCGTGCAAGAAACATATCTTGTGGGTTCGAATTCCAGATTCGTCCAAATTATGTTTTAACGTTTGTCAGCACCCCGCCTGGCATCACTTTGGCTTTTCTCCCACATCAAGCTGACACGCCGTGATATTACTGAAATACTGTCAAAGCGGGGTCAAACTAAACTCGCGAAAACAAAACTAAAATCATAGTATAGTTCATTTAAGGTACATAAAGTTGCATCTTCCCGAGGCAAGAGCGTTAACTGACTTTACAAGTGGAAACTGGACTTTTATAGTCAGTTAACTTTCTTGCCTCGGGAAGATGATAAAGTTGTGGAGTAGGTTGTGGCTAAAGCATTACCTGTCACCTTGACAATCCGGACTGGTCCCACCACGTGACTGTCAGTGATCCAGTATCCCAAACTACTGACCCCATTTTTAAAATTAAAAATATGTTGCCTCGATCATTTAAAGTGAACGGTTTCGACATAATCCCATTACAGATAATAGATCGTGCTCTAATTTTGGTTTTATTTATTAGTAACGAACCCACCACCAAAACCAGCCAAGCCGTCGTCTTCCGCTGCCAGCCTCACACGTGAATGTACGTACACTCAATGATGTTTTCAGCTTGTGTTAACGGGCCGACTACTGGTATTCTTGTTTAGCCTATTTTTAAGATAGTTTCTGCATACTGGATGTCCTGAAGACAACGGTGTTGTTTAAAAATTAAATTGCCCGGTTTTGGGGTGTTTTGTATATTTTTTGGAAGCAGTAATCGAACAAATATCCCGTCTCTGATTAACATCCAACGCTGTGTTCTGTTGTTGTTTACGGACAGTTGTAAAGAAGTAATTACCTTTTTAGCGTTTAAAAAACGTAGTATAACAAAGCTGTTGTGTGCCTCCAAGAGAAATGTACAATGATGCTTTTTCATAATGTATACTGGGTTGGAGGCGTATTTACCAAAATAAAGCATTCATTCAATGTAAAGAAGTAATTAAATCGAAGAACGCTATTTTGCGAATCATTATTTGTAGACCACTTCATAGATCCGCCTTAGGATATTGGTATGGTCAAATGCTTTAACATACATACACATCAAAGATTTACTATTAGCCAACATGTAGGACCTTCTTGAAGTAGATGGTTTAGCCTCGATAGTTGTACATAATAATGTCTTTAATTTCTTTCTTCATTGTCTTTCAGTGACGTTTGCTGTGGTTACAGCGACAGTTGTCTACCTTTGTGGAAGGATGTGACCTTGAACTGATGCAAAACGCAATATTATTTCCGCCCTTCGTGGATAACGATCTAGATGCATTGAGATGCATTATCACCAGTAATTTACCAGTCAGGACAATATTTATACAAATTCAAAACTCGATTTCATCACTTGAATAACAAGAATGAGATTCGTCAAGTTTTAAGAAACGGGTGTAATTTTTAATGAAAGCGGCATTTTCGTTTTCAAGAGAGTTGAACCGGTAACATGTATACTTTAATGTCGATATGAAACAGTTACCAACTGTGGATAAGTATGATGTTATACGTGGAAATCGTGTGTGTATATTTATATCGTATCTCTCACAAAAAGTACAAGCAAATCAAGCATCTTTAGCAAAATACATGACGCTATAGAACACGTGGTACGTGACACTTTAGGACGTATTGTACATGACACTATAGAACACGTGGTACGTGACACTTTAGGACGTATTGTACATGACACTATAGAACACGTGGTACGTGACACTTTATAATTAGCACGTATTGTACATGACACTATAGCACACGTGGTACGTGACACTTTAGCACGTATTGTACATGGCACTATAGCACACTTGGTACGTGACACTTGAGCACATATTGTACGTGGCTATATAGAACAAATGGTACGTGACACTTAAGGACGTATTGTACATGACACTATAGAACACGTGGTACGTGACACTTAAGGACGTTTTGTTCATGACAATAGAGAACACGTGGTACGTGATACTTTAGCACATATTGTACGTGGCTCTATAGAACACTTTAGCACAAGGATGGAAAGGGTACAGAGAAATGTGTGCAACACTGTCATTAAATTAGGGTAAAGCTACAAGTATAGTATTTATTCCTTGAGGTTCTTTGCAAAGGTGTGGATAAATGATATCCATGTTTCATATTTCTTGTTTCATATTTCATTCTTTTACTGCTTCATGTTTTGTAAGATTGGGATTCATACAGGGAAGCCATCGAACGCTTATTTCATTACTCGATTGACAGCAGCAGGCTTGGTGTAACAAATGCACTGGATACTTCCATGTCTGGTATAAATGGCGCTTTGTTTTGCGAGATACTTTCAATACCGATGAAAGATACGATTCCACTTGGGCGTATGTTGACCCTGTGTTAGCTGGGTGTTGCCACCGGTGGGGCAGAATACGCTCACCTTTCCGCGGGGGCGGTCGGGTAGCCTAGTGGTTAAAGCGTTCGCTCATCACGCCGAAGACCCGGGTTAGATACCCGACATGGGTACAATGTGTGAAGCCCATTTCTGGTGTCCCGCGCCGTGATATTGCAGGAAAATTGCTAAAGCGGGCGTTAAACCATACTCACTCACCTTTCCGAAAACACCTTGTATCATCACTATTTGAAAGTAATTGATAAACACATGCTTCTAACATAGTCAGAGTCGAACAATGAACTTAGCAGAGATTTCTTATGAAAGGGTTTTACTTTTTTAAAGTTTTAATTAGGTGTTCCAACCTTTTTGTACGAAATCATGTCATTTTTGTTGTTTAACGCCCGCACTCAACAATATTCCAGCTATATGACGGCGGTCTGCAAATAATCGAATCCGGACCAGGCAATCCAGTGATTGACATCATGAGCATCGATCCACGCAATTGGGATACGATGACATGCATCAACCAAGTCAGCGAGCCTGACCACCCGATCCCGTTAGTCGCCTCTAACGACAAGCATAGTCGCCTCCTAGAGAAAGCGTGGGTTGCTGAAGACATATTCTACCCCGGATCTTCACGGGTCGAATCCATGTCTATTTCATCTCGTCTCCCCAACAAACACACCTGTAACACTATTCTGATGAACATCATATCTACTTGTTGACCCCTGAGTATATACGTGGATACTTTAGACAATCTTATACATAATAATGTTGCCCAGTGTCATGGAACTGTGGAACTGTGGATTGAATTATGTGTCATTTGATATATTATAACTTACAAGCATATCTGTTCTTCTTATATCGTTTCTATTTTACAGCCAACGTGTTTGGTAATAAAATCCTTATAAACTTTACCTGTGTTTCTTTGTAAAATTTGCATTATCTCTGGAGCAGCTAAGCCGATTATGATAGAGGGAAATGTATTCCAGGGGAGACAACCGAATGGTTGGTTGGTTTGTTGTTTAACGCCGCACTCAGCAATATTCCAGATATATGACGGCGGTCTGTAAATAATCGAGTCTGGACCAGACAATCCAGTGATTAATATCACGAGCATCGATCCACGCAATAGGGATCGATGACATGCATCAACCAAGTCAGCGAGCCTGACCACCCGATCCCGTTAGTCGCCTTTCACGGTTCACCCTGTAAATTCTATTACTGGGAATGAGTCGCTGGTACAACGTGATTGCCAAGCGGCCTATAGTATGACTGAATACGGCGGTGCTTTAAGCTGCAGTGAGTTGGTGAGTATGGTTTTACGCCGCTTTTAGCAATATTCCAGCAACATCACGGCGGGGGACACCGGAAATGGGCTTCACACATTGTACCCATGTGGGGAATCCAACCCGGGCCGTCGGCGTGACGAGAGTTCACTTTAACCACAAGGCTGCCCCACTGCCCCTTAAGACGAGTCGGCATATATGCATTGTATGACACGAGGAACTCTTCATTTTTTAAGGCTTACAGCGATGGCGTTGAATATCGATCACAAAAAGGTTTATTAACAACATTTTGTCATGAATAAAGGTTTTTTAACACTTTTTATCATATTTTATTTTATTTTTATTATTGTTTGTTTCAATGAGGAAATTACCTGTTCGCCACCGAACATGTCACTAATTGTTTTATTAATGTTATCATCTGTATGCCAATAAAATGCCTTAGTTAGGTGTTGTCATCTCATCATCGAAGCAGTCAGGGTAACGGCCTTAAGACGTCAAAATCGTCGCCAAAAACATCCGATATCAAACGTACTATATTTCCTCTATTAGACGCCCCGGCGTCTATTAATTTCGAGCGAGCCGTTGACCCGGCGTGTATTAGAGACTCAGCGTCTAATAGAGCAAATGCGATATTCAGTTCTGATTTGTGATCAGCAGCCATTTGTTTATGGATCACTCTGTATGCAATCGGTGTATTCATATGCACGGTCTTAATGTAAAAAGGCTGAATTTAAAGAGGGTTCTGTGGGGGAAAATGATACCTCTTTTTGACCAATCAAAACCAAGCATTCTTCAATGTGATAGTAGAATAGAGTTCCAGTAAGCAATATTCCAGCTACCAAGCTATACTGTACACGTATGGGTCTGTCAGACAGTGGTTAATAGCTTGAGCAGCGATCAAGGTCATTGGGACACACGTTATAGCTAAAATTGATAGAATTATCCTAAAATCGCCCACAAGTTGTCAGGCAAAGATCGTGTTATTGTAATATGATAATGCTGTCATTTTACCTGGCTGTGACAGTTTTTGGACGCCATGGATCGGTGTTCGGTTTACAATACTTGTACAGGAAATAATCCGGGGCATATAACGATTTTATGAAGTTTTAAATAATGCGAAAAGTCTCCTCGTGGAAGCAGAATTTCTGTCGAATTTATTCAACTTCTTTTAATATTTGTTTTTCGCCCGATCTTCATGTCGACGAATAGTCAACTTTCCCTGTATGTCGAGCAATATTCCAGCAGCCCCGGCCTTTTTTGTCTACATTTCACAACTTTTTAGGAACACTCGAGCATGCTCCACCAGGGTTTCAAAGAGCGTCATATGACTTGCTCAGAAGTTGTTTGTCAGAGTTACAATTCAAGGCCTTGGTAAAGCATTTATAAAGTTTTACAGCAAACATGTGGAGGATATTTCCAAATTTGACACATCACGGTGCAATTCACTATTTTGACTTTGACCATGTGTTTCCGTGGTTGTTTTTTCAGATGAACAATTGACTTGCCGTTGCATGTGTTTGTGGTAACGGGTGCGAACACCAGGTATATGATTGGTTAATGTCATGAGCAACGATTCACGTCGTAGGCGACCCTTAACCTTCCGATCCTCATTTTGGCCAGTTCACAAAACTATGGACCCTTCTGCCTCTGATTCGCCATAGGGACACAGTGTGTGACCGATTCAAACTTTAGACAAGTAATTATGTCAATCCATGGTTCTGATGATGTAACGTTATCAGTTTGTGACGGCGTGCACAGTGGGTAATGCCGTATCGCATTTTCCTCAACAATAGGGCAATGACGTCATGTCGTTTTAACTGACCAATCAACAAAGAGAATCCCTAAAATGCACATGGCCATACTCTGTACAAAAGTAGTCCGTGACATGTACCTGCAGAACGACGTAGCGTTGAGTGGCACGTACTGATGTTCCACGTCGTTGGAGAAGGGGTTGCCGTTTTCCCGATACACGTGACGGACGCCGGACGGACGGAGCTCTGTCACCCTCTAGCGTCACAAAACAGTAGTGGAAAATGTGAGGTATTTGTCTTGTACAAAGGCAACCTCGTTTATCCGGATGGTACCGTTCCCAGTGGAAATGAATTGGAACGGTGTATATTGGGGCAGTGTACATGTGTACAAATATACATATATAGCAAGGCCACAATTTTGCTTCACACTAAAATCCCCATCTTATGTAGTAACACTTCATCAAACAACGAAGTTATAATTACCAACAATAACAACCTACAATAAAACCTCGTTGACTCGAAGTCATCGAGACAACATAGAGTTTTCGATAGTTCCATACAAATGATACGTCGAGTAAATGAAGTTCCGAGTTAGCGAGGGTTCATTGTACCTTAAACATGGACTAATGTAATAATGTAAAAACAAACACGGAAACATTGGCAGTTGATTACAGTTGAGGGGAAACACAACAACGGGTCCAGGACACTGATTCGTAATAAGAATCTAACGCACCTTGAATCTAGCCTCTGATTTCGACATTGAAGCCGGAAGAAATGACGACCCTGATTCACAGCCATTTTTAAAATCAGTGAGTGAGTGAGTGAGTGAGGTTTACACCGTGTTGGCGGTATTCATATCACAATAATGGAATTCACACATTGAACCCATATGGGGAATTAGCTCCGCTGACCCCGATCTACAACAATATATATATATATATGATATTATATATGATAATCATGAATAAAAAACGTTAATTAATTGATGAAAAATTACAACAGTGGCATATCTACGTAAGTCATAATGAGTGAGTGTGTATGGTTTTACACCGCTTTTACACAGCAATATCTCTGCGGGGGACACCAGGAATGGGCTTCACACATTGTACCCACGTCGGGAATCGAACCCGGGACTTCGGCGTGACGAACCAACGCTTTAACCACTAGGCTACCTGACCGCCCAAGTCATTATGTATTTGTATCACCATTCACTAATGACCAACTTAAATCTTAAAATTATTTGTTCATGTGATTTAAGTTGAAAAATGTGCCAAAATTATAGCTGACGGACTACAATCATCATCCATAGTAAGATTCCAATCATAAATAAATGTGCACCAGATATTGTGTACTTACACGTTTTGGACGGCTCATTCACACTGATTGACCTTGACCTTCAATGATGTGATTCAAACTATATCATGAGCACTCGAGTATCGGACTTGCCATGCAAATGATCATACTTGACAATTAATATTTTGTCAGGTGAGCGTATATACAGGTGGTATATCATCCCATTATTACCCCATTCAAGACCCGCTCTCATCTTCAAAGCACTTTACCGACAGCAGTGCTATGCCACTAGTATATTACTCGTCTGTATGTATGCTTTGGTCTCCTGGACGTAAGACAAATGCCCATTGTGTTTGTGCATGAGTCAAACTGGAGCCGTAATTCTTACAAATTGTGCTGAATCAGGACTCGTGTGAAGTAGCGTGTGTTGAGATGTGTGATTTATTGAGTGGGACTTCTGTGCTGGTGTGATAGTCCTTTCAATGTCAGTCTGCCGTCCAGCGGCTGCACGAGTGACAGGCTTTAGGTCACGACTGAATGGTTGCGTAGCACGCGAAAGGGAGTTTGGTCGTGTTCAAGGTTATTGCACTTATGTGGCGACGTGCATGCACGTGTGTGAGAGTTAGGGGTGGGGGGAGTGGGGGGGGGGGGGGGGGGGGGGGTTGGGGGGGGGGGGGGGGGGGGTTGGGGGGGTGCTGCTTGTACTAGTCAGGACTGATGCCGATTTATAGTGCTAGCTCACTGAGATACCATGCCGCAGTTTAACATGAATACCCCACTCAGACACAGTATACTGACTCCGAGCCGACCAGTCCTTGTTTTAGCCCCTTAATGCCGAGCGCCAGGCAGGGTAACAACAAGTACCATATTTTACGTCTTTTGGTATGATGCGGCCAGGGATCCAACCCCGAACCTTCCGTTCTCCGGCCGTGGTAACTTCCTACACACCTTCTTTGGAACATATCTTTAGTGAACTTGTCTTTAACCTCGTGAATATGTGGAATCACAAGAATCATCTTCACCATTAATATATTTCTTAAATATAATAATAAAGATTTCGAAAATGTCGGCAATAATTAGAGCAAGGTAAAAGATCTAAATGTAAGTAAAATAAATTTTAATATTTGTTGGCAGTCGGGTAGCCTAGTTGTTAAAGTGTTTGCTCGTAACGCCGAAAACCCGGGTTCGATTCCCGACATGGGTACAATGTGTGCAAACCCATTTCTGGTGTCCCCCGCCTTGATATTGCTGGAATATTGATTAAAAGCGGCGTAAAACCATACTCATTCACTTACTATTGTTCAAGGCATTATCATATCAAGGTTACAACATTCAAGGCCTCAGTAAAGCTTTCAAAATGTTTTATGGTAGGCATGAGGAGGACATTTCCAAATTTGACGCATCAGTGACAAAAAAAATATCCCATGCAATTCCCTGTTTTACATTGTACCATCTGTTTCCGTGTGTATTCTGGTGAACAATTGACTTGCCTTTGTATGTGTTTGTGGCGGGTGCCACCGGTGGGTCAGGATACGCTCACCTTTTCGCGAACACCTGGTGTCATCAATATTTATTAATGATTCATAAAGACATTCTTATGATATGAATCGTAAAATCTGCGTTTGGCACAAATTTGTATTGAATATGGAGAGGTTTTGTCGCTTTTATTCCAGATACCTCGAAAGCTATATGTTGTTTGTTTCGTTCATATCGTGTATACATTGGTATAAATAATTAGCATGAATCTATGAAAGTAAGGGAGGTTTTTCTATATGATTAACCAAATTTACTTCCTTCATTTTTCGGGGCAAGAGTGGCCACGTGATCTATACAAAGGCGACATAACATTCCCCATAAGCATGTGTTTCTGATTCACTATCACAGACACCAGGTGTCCGTGAAAGGTGGGCGTATTCACCCCCACCAGTCAGGCGTTGCAATTGGCTTTGTGGAGATGCGACCCTTAGCTGTGCCAGATTTGTCATTTACCAACCCCATGCTGCATGTATTTGGTCTTTCCATCCGCGTTAAGCCTTGACTTGACGTAATGACTTGATGTAAATGAATTTTTTTCAACGTAACTGACAGACTCACACACTTCTTCATTTGATTAGAAGTTATAACAGTGTTATAACAGCTGCATTTGATCAAAATGAGTAATGGTTTCAAACTATCTATCACCAAGTGAATGTTGTTTGAATGACACCGCGTATTTTTTTCAGAATTGTGGTATTACTATATAGAATCTCCATTTGCTCTCTATATATATTACATTATTGGAGTGATTGAGTATGGTTTTACGCCGCTTTTAGCAATATTGCAGCGATATCACGGCGGGGAACACCAGAAATGGGCTTCACACATTGTAACCATGTCGGGAATCGAACCCGGGTCTTCGGCGTGACGAGCGAACGCTTTAACCACTAGGCTACCCGACCGCCCCTAAAATTATTGGAAATGCTATTTGACAATAGAATGCAGTGTTACCGAAACAGTTTCGTTTTATTAAAAGTCAAAACTGGTAACTTGATATCGGACACATAAAATCATAACCTTACAAAACATTAAGTGTTTTATTGTCTGCTTAAAATACACCGCATATAGTCCTCGTCATTAAGTTGTAAATATCAATAAGGGTCTCTCACTGCTGCAGGGGACATCATTAGTGAAACATTAGGTCACGTTGTATAATCATGACTATTCACTTGACTGACTGTGGGTAGTTACATATTGGTCTCACTTATGACTGTCATATAGTGCAAGTGTGTTGACACTGCTACATCAGCACATGGCACGGCTACGATTGTCTTGGCTCAAACGTCTAAGGCGCCGCAATTTACTGTGGAGAGTTGCGTCCCTTAGGCAAACATGTGATCGTGGGTTCGAATCCCGCTTCGCCCCGATTATGTTTCTAAGTTTGTCACGATGAAGGTCTCATACGTTTACCACTTCGGTGAAACCCACGAACACGGGTATGGTGCTGACAAACCTAGAAACATAATCGGGGCGAACCGGGATTCGAACCCACAATCATAGGTTTCTGGTGTGCCCAAGGGACGCAACTCTGCACAACGAATCGCGAGGCCTCAAACGACTGGGCCACCCGTGCCCCCAATAGTGATTTGAACCCATTCTGTCTTTCAGTGTTTTCATGAGCTCCCCCCCCCCCCCCCCCCCCCCTTTTTATTTCGAAAAAAATCTTCATTTCTGTATAAATTACCACCAAAGACAATAAATGGATCTTAATTGTGCACACCAGAAACCTATAATTGTGGGTTCGAATCCCGGTTCGCCCAAATTATGTTTCTAGTCAGCACCATACCCGCGCTCGTGGGTTTCACCGAAGTGGTAAACGTCTGAGACCTGCATCATTTCGGGCTTTCCTCCCACATTAAGCTGACACGCCGCGATATAACTGGAATACTGTTAAAACCGGCGTTAAACCTAACTCACTCACTCTAAATAGATTTAGATATAGGTTAAATAATATTTTTTTAATTTTTTTTTAAGCATCTAACACGTGTATAACAAAGTAGACACAATTTATGGATAGCAACTTCTTTAACACTGCACAGGCGACGTTTCGGTATAGATCCTTATACCGTTGTCAAGCAAGACTCGAGTGTCAATACCAGGTATAGTACCCAGCAGGTTCTAATTACCAGTATGTGTAGCGTCCTCGCCACATAGCGGTGGAAATTATATGAGCGGATCACTGAAAATCAGTGATGGCACTTGAGTACTAACGGAAATGAAAAAAAACTGTTTTAAATAAATGCAGTTAATATACAAAATATATAAAGAGTCAAACAACTCAATAAGTTCTAATTGGGCCTTGGCACAAATACAGCGTATCAAAGGTTTTTATGTCTTTTTACACTTAAAAGTGTGTAAAAATATGAACAAAACAGATTATAGTGAAACTGAGCATAACCAGGTGAATGTCCATGACCTATGACACCTTGACGACATGTGAAAACAGGTGTTTGAAACCCACGTGCATGTGATTTGTCAGTAGTTAGTGATTTGTGAGTGGCATTGTGGGATAGTGAATCATCGTCAAAATATCAGAACGTAAAAGTAACACATTCCCTTCTCAAACAACAATTTACATGTCATTATTATTATGTACATAAACATAGCTGTTATTTTTATTGTTGTTTTGATAACTTTTTTCCAGGCTTATTTGCATAATCCCCATAGCCTGTTTCTGCATGTCAAGTTGGACTTAGTTTTATTTTTGAATGTTGGAAGTGCCTACAAATTACCTCCTGTAAAGTACATTTTGTATTGAGCACTGAGATAAAACTAGCAAATCAAGACTAGTACTTTTCCAGTTGTTTTGTTATTTCGTATTTACATCTTCGTTATGCTTTGTGTCGATTATTAAATCCAGCAAAACAGGTTTTTTTCATTTCCATGAGTACTTTAGGTATGAGAGTAAGCATGTCCTGCCCTGCTGGAAGCATCCGCGACGTTATATTGTGCACTGGGTCTAAAAAGAAAAAGCATTGAAACAATAAGCTACAGGGATTAAGTCCATTGCCCTATTGGTTAAGCATATAAACTTTACAAAAAGATCATTTAAAGTCATTTTTTTATTATCTGGTGTTGGAATAAAACTTCATATGTTTAAAAAGCAAACCCGGATGGAGAAATATTTATTCATGGAAACTGATAGTTTTTATTGCAGTTTATTATTTGTTTGTTGTTTAATGCAACACTCTATAACACTCCGGCTACATGGCGGCGGCTTGTAAATAATCGAGTCTGGGCCAGACGAACCAGTGATTGATATCATGAGCAAAGATAAACGCCGTTGGGATATGATGCTTAAGCAATCAACCATATCACCGAGACAGACCACCAATCTTATAAGCCGCATCTAACGACCAACAGGGGACCAATTCTAACAAGGAATCTCCGCAGGGTGAATCGCAGAGCTTGAGACTTACCACCATAGTTCCTTGCGGATTTGTAATAGAGAATGTAAGATCAGCATGGTACCTTTAAAACAGAAGTTTCGTGAGAAACAACCCAGCAATGCCAGCCTCGATCCACTCCATTCACCACCCTCGCCATCGAGTCTCTACAAGAGGTGAGGTGAAATGGGGTTTAACGTCGCGTCCAAGATTATTGTACTTATATAGCAACGTGCATGCACACGTGTGTGTGTATGGCTGCTTGTACTAGTCCGGACTGATGCCGATTTATAGTGCTAGCACACTGAGATACCATGCCGCAGTTTAACATGGATACCCCACTCAGACACAGTATACTGACTCCGAGCCGACCACTCCTTGTTTTAGCCCCTTAATGCCGAGCGCCAGACAGGGTAACAACAAGTACCATCTTTTAACGTTTTTTGGTATGACGCGGCCGGGGATCGAACCCCGGACCTTCCGCTCTCCGGGCGGACGCTCTACCACTAGACCACGGAGGCGGTCAGTCGTACAAGAAACCAAACAAGGTAGTGTACGCGTGTAACAGGCTATCAGTTATCAAAAGTGAATGTGTCTACAGCGTCGTAGAAATTAAAAAATGCATCGTTAACACTCGTGATTTTTGAGAATGTAACTCGTGCCTCCCGACTTCTCTATATAGGGCTGATCTCGCCATACCCAGCAGTCACACTAAGCCGCATCTCGCCAAACGCCCACCGCTGCATCGTGATGCTGAAACTCTTGATTTGTCTCGCCGTTGTAACGGCAGCTCTGGCTGATATTGACGTGCGACTACGGCGACGATCGACGATATTTCTGCCGTACACCTACGAGAATGGTCCCCAATACTCTCTGTCTGAAGTTGCCGTAGAACAACTTGCGTATGATTCGGACAACAAAATTCTTTACACAGTCGGTGAGTGGGTATCAAAACGTATATGCCTTAAAAATGGGTTTCTCGCTGCTTTTCAGTGCACCATTCGAAACTGATTATTGTCTGGCGTTGACGTTTTATGTTACGCTGATTATTTTATAGACTAACTATATTTATAGAATGATTTTAAAAAACGAATTCCGTTTTTTATTGGAATATTAGAAACTCTAAGGCGCCGCGATTCGCCTTGGGCACGCCAGAAACCTATGATTGTGGGTTCGAATCCCAGTTTGCCCCGATTGTTTCTAGGTTTGTCAGCACCATACCCGTGCTCGTGGGTTTCACCGAAGTGGTAAACGTCTGAGACCTGCATCACTTCGGGCTTTCCTCCCACATTAAGCTGACACGCCGCGATATAGCTGGAATACTGTTAGAAGTGGCATTAAACCCAACTCACTCACTCACTCACTCATAGGAAGACGAGATATAACACTCCTGATCTCTGTTCTTTGATCAAATGTTCCTTGATGCGGGTATCTACCTGGCGGGAGGTTTCATCAATGTACGCGTCACAGTTAATCATATTGATTACTCCTTTGGAGGAGATACCCGCATCAAAGAACATTTGACTTCAACAGCTAAAGCAGACAGCAAATCAGCCCCCTCAGACCACCAGTAAAACTTCCCTCAGTTTGTCAAAGTCCAGATCCTCTTAACCAAACATCAGGACTTTACCAAAAGAGTGAGTGAGTGAGTTGGGTTTAACGCCGCTTTTAACATTATTTAACATCACGGCGTGTCAGCTTAATGTGGGAGGAAAGCCCGAAGTGATGCAGGTCTCAGACGTTTACCACTTCGGTGAAACCCACGAGCACTGGTATGGTGCTGACAAACCTAGAAACATAATTGGGGCGAACCGGGATTCGAACCCACAATCATAGGTTTCTGGCATGCCCAAGGGAAGCAACTCTGCACAGCGAATCGCGGCGCCTTAGACGACTGGGCCACTCGTGCCCCCCTTTACCAAAAGAAAACTCACAGAAGCTATATAGAAAAACGTCGTCACAAACCTTAGATCAACATAGATCAAGAGCATTACATCCCGTCTGCTTATGGAGATCTAATCAAGCCAAAGACTATTTTAATTAGGTCTTTGAATGGCATTTAGAAGTGATACACATATGGAAGAGAATTTATGGATGTCAACTTCTTTATTATGAGGAACACAATGTTTATACTCCGAAACGTTGTGTTCCTCATAATGAAGAAGTTGTAATCCATAAATTCTCTTCCTTATTCTAATTATTATCCAATCAGTTTGTCACAACTGTTTAATCCTTTTAATCCATATTCTTACTGTATATCTATTACCTGTTGTAATATATCGATTACCTGTTGTTTTGTTGTTTGTTGTTTCACGCCGCACTCAGCAATATTCCAGCTATATGACGGCGGTCTGTAAATAATCGAGTCTGGACCAGACAATCCAGTGATTGATATCATGAGCATCGATCCACCCAATTGGGATCGATGATATGCATCAACCAAGTCAGCGAGCCTGACCACCCGATCTCGTTAGACGCCTTTTACGACAAGCATAGTTACCTTTTACGGCAAGCGTGGGTTGCTGAAGACCTATTCTACCCCGGATCTTCACGGGCCTGTTGTTGTCATTGTTAATCTGCTGCTTATCACAACATATCATGCATATACACCCCTCATCACTATCGGTGTAAGAATCTACATCGAAAACGTCACCATATACAATAAACAAGAAGTTGTTATCGAAAAAGTTTTACGTTTTCTAACCTACTTACCATCTTCTAGAATGCCATTCAAACCGTTAATCTTTGAGGTACTAATTCAACAGGGCTACTGACAGTTAGATTGACAGTCTAGACGTGTTGGTTCAGGTGGACACGTGACTTGCCTTTGCATGTGTTTGGTGACGAGTGCCACCGGTGGGGCAGGATATTCACCTTTCACAACACCTGCTGTCATCCCTATTTCATAGTCATTCATAAACATTTGTTTATGATATAGTCGGAATGGTACAATGTACTCTGCTTTTGGCTAAGTGTTCTTATGATTATGGAAAGAGTATTTATTACGAAGTAAAGCACCCTTGAACGTCAGATGGGAATAGCCCAGTCTGGAAAAGAGTTGTTGTTTTTATCAGAGTGAACTAAAGTCCAGTTGATTCCGAGAATTTTAATCAGACGATTCACTCGTGTTTAATGCTCGGGCTATTTTTATCTAAACTTTGCAAACTTACAAAAAACGCTATCGCACATTTCTCCTAGTAAATCTTTGGTTGTCCTGGTTTAGTTTAAATAGCTATATAATATTACATGGCACTGGATTGGTAGCTGTTATCGAAAATGGATCAGTGGATGCCCAATGTCCTAGCCTGAATCCGCTGATCGTGGGTTCGAATCCCAAATTATCCCCGATCATGTATGGGCATTTGATATATATATTTTTTAAAAGCAGAGATAAGGTTGCCATGGTTACTGGTTTGTCAGCACCACACCTGTGCTTGTATTTACCAAAGTGGTTCCTTTTGGCTTTCCTTTCACACAAGACTGACACTCTGTAACTGAGACCCTCTCCAAAGCGGCGTTAGTCACACACTTGTTGACAGTTCTATATGAATAAAAAGCAACAGAAGACGTTTCCATAATCCCAAGAAATGTATAGCCACAAGAGTCGATTGTACTATTTCGACTCTCTCATAAGCATGTGTTTACGAAGCACTATGAAATAGTGATGACACCAGATGTTCTCGAAAAGGCGATCGTATCTCCCCCACCAATGGTATCCCATCACAAACACATGCAATGGCAAGTCAACTGTTCATCCGAAAAAGGGAATTGCATCGCACCAAATTTTTGTAACTGTCACTTTAAACACACTATGTAGAGATCCCGATCCCTTTTCAATTTTTTGTTCAGAATACATTTTGAAATTTCAGTGTACTAATAATGCCATGCCTGTATGTAATTTGAGTGAGTGAGTGAGTTGGGTTTAACGGCGCTTTTAACAAGTTATATCGCGGCGTGTCAGCTTAATGTGGGAGGAAAGCCCGAAGTGATGCAGGTCCCAGACGTTTACCACTTCGGTGAAACCCACGAGCAAGGGTATGGTGCTGACAAACCTATAAACATAATTGGGGCGAACCGGGATTCGAATCCACAATCATAGGTTTCTGGCGTGCACAAGGGACGCAACTCTGCACAGCGAATCGCGGCGCCTTATGTTATGTATAATCTTAAACTGCAATTCCTTCAGCTTATTGGGTAGTGTAATATATAATAAGACACAGTTATCTCGGTTTAAATACAATGTCAGTCGTCAAGCAATGATAACGGAGTCTGCTTCATATGATGTGGGATTTATTTTTTTTTAAACAATTCATTGTCAATAAAAAATGACTGACACGTAGGATTTAAAGTTATATATTTCCACTCTTTTTAGCTTAGCGGACACAGTTACATTTTAGCTTTACATAGAAACATTTGAGACGTTCAAGGGTGAGAAAACTTCAGTTTAAGTGAAGCTTAAACGACTTCGTCAAAATTCCTCCTTGTCAGGTGATACAGTCGTGCATGCCATCGACGTGTCGAACCCCAGCCACATGATTATCGTTGCCTACCTGGAGTACCCAGGCATGGAGTTCACGGACGTGGAGTTCTGTGGGGGTCACATTTTCACGGCCATGGACAACAGGACAGACAGAACCAATGGGAAGATGATAGTCTTCTCGGGATACAACCCCGTGACCAAACGGATCCGAGAAGTTCTGCAAGTACCAGGTAAGAATTAGCATTTATAGAATGAGAAACAGTGAATCAGGGTATTTCACTCACTCACTCACTCACTCACTCACTCACTCACTCACTCACTCACTCACTCACTCACTCACTCACTCACTCACTCACTCACTCACTCACACTCACTCACTCACTCACTCACTCACTCACTCACTCATCATCTCTCTGTTCCCAGTGGGCGCCGTACCAGACATGGTCAAGCCGACGAAGGACTGTTCCAAGGTTATAGTGGCTGTGGAGGGCGAGGCGTACGAGTACCCCCCAAACCAGATCACTGACCCCCCGGGGCTCGTCGTTATCGTCAACTTCCCCTCGGGAGTCGGGAGCAACATGTTTGTCTCCACACTGAATTTTGAAAGATTTAATGACAGGTATTCATCACTAATGACATGAGTAATAGTTTATACTTCCCCAAGTGACTTGTCTCAAGACGTTGCAATCTTTTGAAATGAAGTTACGGTTATATACAGGTACCTGTGTACTGATGGTACTACACGTTGGTTTCCGTGATATTAATATATGCGATGTAGGTTGCTACAGAAAGGTTGGCGATGTTTGTTAAATGTTTGTGTTGTTGACATACGTAAATCAGGCTGAGAAAACAATGTTAAGAATCTGAATAATACTTACAATAATAAAACCGGACAAAACCACAAATGATAAATTGCCATCTCCAAAAATGCATTCATACGGCATGTTTCAAATGTCCCGCACATAATTAGAAAACTAGTTATCCTTTTCGTGGTCTAAAGCGCAACCAGTCGTTTTAAGTCTAAATCGTGCGTTGCCTTGTGTGGATTCCGCGTCAAAATAGGTCCCCACACCTCATGCCTGTCGCGGGGCCGGCCAGCACGAGGATCAGGTGGCCACAGTGCATTCTGGCTAGTTGCTCATGCTGTCAACCACTGTCACCTGGTACCTGTACCTTCAAACCTGAAACACTTAAGGATGTACTAACCTTGAGACAAACATTAATCACCAATACCTACCTTGGTTCACAGAGTGCCAGCCCTGGAAGCGTCCGGCGTCCGTCATGTGTACCGGGAGAACAACAACCCCTTCTCCAACGACGTGGAACCGGAATACATCGCCCTCAACGCTGACGACACCAAGGCATACATAATGTTACAGGTCAGGGCTGTTATTAGCATCATACTCGGATTCGCTTAAAAGACCCGTAGACATTCCAAATGAAGTAGTAGTAGTGGAAGTAACAGTAGCAGTAATAGTAGTAGTAGCAGTTGCAGCAGCAGTAGAAGAAGTTATGGTAGATGTAGTAGTTGTAGTAGAAGTAGTAGTAGTAGTAGTAGTAGTAGTAGTAGTAGTAGAAGTAGTAGTAGTAGTAGTAGTAGTAGTAGTAGTAGTAGTAGAGTGGGTGAGTTTGGTTTAGCGCCGCTTTTAACAGTATTCCAGTTATATCGCGGCGTGTCAGCTTAATGTGGGAGAAAAGCCCGAAGTGATGCAGGTCTCAGACGTTTACCACATCGGTGAAACCCACAAGCACGGGTATGGTGCTGATAAACCTAGAAACATAATGGGGGCTAACCGGGATTCGGACCCACAATCATAGGTTTCTGGCATGCCCAAGGGACGCAACTCTGCACAGCGAATGGCGGCGCCTTAGACGACTGGGCCACCCGTGCCCCCTAGTAGATGTAGTAGCAGTAGATGTAATAGTATGATGTCGTATATATTCCAAATATGCAGACTGAGCATTCTATTCTATTTTATTTAGGGGAGGGGCGGATAAATTGGTCTCTATGGCCTCGACTCATTAAACAGAGTTGCGTTCCTTTACCAGTGTAGGATGTGCTGAATTTCATCTTTTACTCTGTCAACACCGTCCCAGGTAAACATCTAAGCCCTTCATCACTATGGCTTTCCCCCCTCATCAGCCACGCGCCGTAATGTTCAAGGAGGCGCTAAACACTCACTCATTGTTGACAGGAGAACAATGCTGTGGCTACTGTGGACCTCCTGACTCAGACTATATCGGAGGTGTACGGGCTAGGCTATAAGAACTGGAGCTATTTGCCACTAGACACTAGTGATAGGGATGACGGTAAGCATTAGCACAATGTTAACATACATGACCAATAGTGCGCTTGGCGTTTCCCATGATCCCAATGTTTTGTTCTGAAACCAGTTTCAATTGCAAATGTATACATTCGGAGCAACAACTGTGCCTGTTAGCAGACATGGAAAGTGAGATCACACTCAGTGCCTGATTATTCGAAGACAGATGTACGGCTGGTCTCAGCCCCACGTGTGTTCTCGGCCCCAGGGGTAGGAAACCATAGTAGAACCAGTTTCGTGTACGTGACTATCACTTGGCCCAACTAAATTGAGTGAGTGAGTTGGATTTTAACGCCACTTTTAACAGTATTCAAGTTATATCGCGGCGTTTCAGCTTAATGTGGGAGGAAAGCCCGAAGTGATGCAGGTCTCAGACGTTTACCACTTCGGTGAAACCCACGAGCAAGGGTATGGTGCTGACAAACCTAGAAACATAATCGGGACGAACCGGGATTCGAACCCACAATCAAAAGGTTTTAATTACTGTCCTCCCGTGATCCCTAGAATTTCATGCATGTGGTAGAAGTCTACTATAGTGGGGATCGGGTGGTCAGGCTGTGATCCTGATGCTTTTGGTCACTTGTTGGCCTGGCACTGTCGCGATTACTTTCAACCGTATAGCTGGAACCTTGTTTGCTGCGGCGTTAAACAATGTTCACTTCACTTCCACTGACTCGTGCCTTCACTTTATGCTGTAGGTGCTCACATGAACGCATATACCATCTACGGGATGTACCAACCGGACTCGTTCGTGCACTTCCAGTTCAAGGGTGGGAACTATCTCGTGATGGCGAACGAGGGAGACGCCAAGGTCTACGACTATGGCAGCTATCAGTGGTCAGAGGAGGAACGTGGCTCCAGAATTCCACCCCAAGGTCTGACATCAGCGTTCTCATTGTATAGTTTTCCTTAATAATTAATTTAATAATAAATTATATATAATAATTCAAGAATATCTTAAAATTATACCGTATATGAGATTTCCAGTTAACATATGGGATCGGAGTGATCGGCAGCGATAACGCATGGAATTACCATTGTTCACAGCGATAGCGTATAGGATTCCTGGGATACACAGCGATAGCATATAGGGTTCCTGGGATTCACAGTGATACCTATATGATTCCTGGGATACACAGCGATAGCATATAGGATTCCTGGGATACACAGCGATAGCGTATAGGATTCCTGGGATTCACAGTGATACCTATATGATTCCTTGGATACACAGCGATAGCATATAGGGTTCCTGGGATTCACAGTGATACCTATATGATTCCTGGGATACACAGCGATAGCATATAGGATTCCTGGGATACACAGCGATAGCGTATAGGATTCCTGGGATTCACAGTGATACCTATATGATTCCTGGGATACACAGCGATAGCATATAGGGTTCCTGGGATTCACAGTGATAGCATATAGGGTTCCTGGGATTCACAGTGATACCTATATGATTCCTGGGATACACAGCGATAGCATATAGGATTCCTGGGATTCACAACGATAGCATATAGGATTCCTGGGATACACAGCGATAGCATATAGGGTTCCTGGGATTCACAACGTATGAAATTCCTGTGATATTCTATGGGAGTACGTCATGTCTTGACCACACAATATCTGATTATAAAGGCTAAGGTTGACTCAGTTGGGGAATCCCTCTTAACCAATGTTTACATTTGAAATATTGTGTTGTAGATCTCTATCATATAGACTTCACAACCGAGGGACAACTCTCAGACAACAGCAAATTGGGTGAGTTTAAGATTGTTACAGCCTGAATTTCACGTGGTGAAGTGAAAACTCGAAGAGCGTCTTGCTAACTAATATACATGTATGTAGAACTGACCGATTTTCGAAACAAAAGGGAAGGGGCACTTTTGTCCAATCGTCTAAGGCGCTGCAATTCACTGTGCCGAGTTGCGTCCCTTAGGCGTACCAGTAACCTATGATCGTGGGTTTGAATCAGAGATTCACCCTGATTATGTTTCTTTATTCGTCAACACCAACCCGTGATCGCGGGTTTCTCCAAAGTTGTAAACGTCTGAGACCTGCCTCACTCCGGGCTTTCCTCCCACATGAAGCTGACACGCAGTGATATAACTGGAATACTGTTCACAAAGTGGTTAAACCCAACTCTCTCACTCCCTATCTCGAAACAAGATGGTGGCATTCGCCGGTCCCTCAATTGTTATATATCTTACGCCATGTCAAAATACGGGAGAACCTCACCTCGAGTACAAGTCGCAATATTAAGGAATATTTGAGGGATACGTTCAGAAAACCATAAAAAATAATTTTCTGACTTTTTCCATTCTCCAAGGATACCGTAGCTATTATAAATCCAAAACGTGTTGTATTCTTTTCACATTGGCATTGTAGAGGCCCAGTCCTCGTAAAACATTGCAAGGCGTGTACAAGATATGTGATTCTTACAGGGAGACTCAAATATGGTGTATCGCCATCTGAAAAGGACGGCCAGGGGTTCCTGAGGGCCTTGTTTACTTATGGAGGGAGGGGCTGGTCTATCAGAAGAGCGGAAGACATGACACTCATCTACGACAGCGGCAACGACATCGCAATCAGAACTCTCCAACAACAATATGACCTGTTCAACTGTGAAGTTGATGATGAACACGATCAACCGTACAACAGTTTCGACATGAGATCAGATAACAAGGTAACGTGTTTGTTTGTTTGTTTCTTTGTTGTTTGACGCCCAACTCAGCAATATACCAGCTATATGACGGCTTTCTGTAACTAATCGAGTCTTTGCCCGGCAGTGCAGTGATTGACCTCATGAGCATGCATCAACCAAGTCAGAGAGTCTGACCACCCGATCTCATTATTCATAAATTCTTAGTTATACGGAAATTCGTTTATACGGACGAAGTGTGAAATGACGCAAGTGTCCTTATAAACGAGGCACGACTGTACTCATCTCCACGGAGGTCGTAGGTCAGTAGAAGCAAGAGTCAGGAGTTCACGCCGAGGTTTTCAACGATACCACATGACAAACCTAACATAAATCTTCAGTCCTTGATCCATGGGGCTATTGTTACTGAACACAGCGGCCATATATTTACTTGCACGTCCACCTTCAGAGGTTCAGGACAGTTTGTCAAAGCCAATGCCAGCTGAAGTTCATAGAGAAAACTACCGTATTCGACGTAATAAGCGCCCAGGGCGCCCTCAAAATTAGAAATAGGGGGCTCTTATTAGAATATTAGTTGGGTGAAAAAAAACATAGTTGAAAGATACATTTCGTGGTTAATGCTGACAACCTGAAATGTTTATGTACGACAGATATATTTTTCCAGAATTTAATTGCCCATAAATAAGGGTGCATTTAACACACGTGTGCGTACTATACCGAAATAAATAAGTCTTGTGTACATTGATCAATCGGAAGGGATGCAAATTTGGCTTGTTCACTAGCCAATATATCAGCAAATATCGCCGTGGGCGCTTATTAGAGCTGGGCGCGTATTACGTCGAATACGGTATATGTGAATTGCTGGAGTTCCTCATTCATAATATCCATGTAAAATTTGGGGGTAAGACATTTAGGCAAGAAGTAGACAACCCCATGGGCAACAATTGTGCTCCCCTTCTTGCTGGTATGTTTCTTTATGAATATTAATAAGAGTTTCTGCCTGGGTTGGCAAAGACAAAGCAAGGTAATTTGGCGAAGAAGCTTAACTTAAGCTTCGGCTATATATTGATGCTTCAATAACCATCAAACAGCCAGTTCCTACCACTGATTTACCGACCTCGGCCCACTTGCACAAAGCGATCTTAGCGCTAAGATGATCTTAACTCCAGTTTAACATATGCTTACAATAGTCTTCGCGCTAAGATCGTTTTGTGCAAGTGGGCCCTGAGGAATAGAAAAAGACCAATGAAGAAGAAAGGCGTCATTCGATTTGTTTAATCAGGGCTAGATAATTCAAGGCCTCAGTAAATCTTTCAAAAAGTGTTTTGGTAAACGTGTGGAGGACATTTCCTAATTTGACGCATCAGTGACAAAAATATGTATGATGCAATTTTATTGTACTACATATTCCCGGATTTTGTAGATTAATAGTTGACTTGCATTTGCATGTGTTTGTGACTGGTGCCGTTGGTAAGGAAGGATACACTCGACCTTTCACGAACACTAGTGTCATCTCGTTTTGATAATGATTCAGAAACACATGCTCATGATGTCGCACAATGAACTCTGCCTTTAGTAGAGGTCTAATGATTGTGGAAATAGAAGTGTTGCCTTTGTTTAGAGGGGTCAAGTTGGTTCTATGTGTAAACAGTACCGGAGGTTACTCACCGTCCTATCTTTACCCCCAGAGGCTACTCACCGTCCTATCTTTACCCCCAGAGGCCACTCGCCGTCCTATCTTTACCCCCAGAGGCTACTCACCGTTCTATCTTTACCCCCAGAGACTACTCACCGTCCTATCTTTACCCCAGAGGCTACTCACCGTCCTATCTTTACCCCCAGAGGCTACTCACCGTCTACTCACCGTCCTATCCTTACCCCCAGAGGCTACTCACCGTCCTATCTTTACCCCCAGGGGCTACTCACCGTCCTATCCTTACCCCCAGAGACTACTCACCGTCCTATCTTTACCCCCAGAGGCTACTCACCGTCCTATCTTTACCCCAGAGGCTACTCATCGTCCTATCTTTACCCCCAGAGGCTACTCACCGTCCTATCTTTACCCCCAGAGGCTACTCACCGTCCTATCTTTACCCCCAGAGGCTACTCATCGTCCTATCTTTACCCCCAGAGGCTACTCACCGTCCTATCTTTACCCCCAGAGACTACTCACCGTCCTATCTTTACCCCCAGAGGCTACTCACCGTCCTATCTTTACCCCCAGGGGCTACTCACCGTCCTATCTTTACCCCCAGAGGCTACTCACCGTCCTATCTTTACCCCCAGAGGCTACTCACCGTCCTATCTTTACCCCCAGGGGCTACTCACCGTCCTATCTTTACCCCCAGAGGCTACTCACCGTCCTATCTTTACCCCCAGAGGCTACTCACCGTCCTATCTTAACCCCAGAGGCTACTCACCGTCCTATCCTTACCCCCAGGGGCTACTCACCGTCCTAGCCTTACCCCCAGAGGCTACTCACCGTCCTATCTTTACCCCCAGAGGCTACTCACCGTCCTATCTTTACCCCCAGGGCGTGGAGACGGAAGATGTGACTGTGGGGGAGGTGGATGGTTACACACTCTTCTTCGTGGCCAACGAGAGACCGGGTACCATCTTCACGTACTCCGTCAAGGATGACCTGAGTCACCCCAAGTTCCAACACATCTATACCGGCATCCCCGAGACCCGAGGCAGGACTTGGAAGCAGATGTATGATGACTGGGACCTCACGGAGATCGACTGTGAGGATAACATGTAAGTTCAGTGCAAAATCACTCACTCAATTATGACACGCACACTGATAAATAGAAGGAAAACAATAGGAATTGTACGAACTCTCTGATTGTATAAGGTCAGCGTGACACTGAGCGACGTTTTTGTGGTGACTGCCCTATTCACATCCATTCATCACTAAGTAGACTTTCTGAAAGCGACATTAAATTAAACACTTACTATTTATGCCATACAGCAGTTATGAATCGAGTTTGTTTCACATACGAGTAAATATTTTGGACAGAGGCGCCACATTTCGAAGAAGAGTTGCGTCCCTTTGTCGTGTCAGGATCTGCTTGCTAATAATGGGTTCGTATCCCAAACTCGCCACAGATCCTTGACCTGGCTGCACCCTTATTATGATTGTTGGTTTCCAAACTGGTAACCAGTGTCAATGACCTGGATCAATTAAAGACATGAAGTTGAAATATATACTGTTCAAAGCACTATAAGACCCAGCTCACTGACACACTCATTCACCCTCCTTTACCACCCTAACCTCCTTCCAACAACTCACTCACTCACTCAAACGCCCAGCCAGACCAAGTCACCCCAAACCTACCCACGTTCCACCCCTCCCAGGAGCCTCATTTCCAAATTAAAATACGAGGTTACAGTTAGACTATCTCAATTTCAAACACAGTAGGTTTATCTCCAATTCATGTACTCACGGTTAATGTCCTCTGTTTCCAGGTTTGTCCCAGCGTCCAAGAGTCCCACAGGAAGTCCTATCCTATTCGTCGGCGGCTCCGTATCAGGAACAGTGTCCATTCTGGATGTGGAAATAACACCTAATTCACATTAGGTAGTGCTGCGTCCTTACATAACATTATATTACCTCTGTTCTATGAAAGAGAGAGATATTTAGGCCACTTTTAGTAATATCCCAGCTATAGCACGACAGGGAACACCAAAAATGGTTCCAATGTGTAGAATCGATCCCAGATCCCGATTCAGCTTGATGAGCGAACGCTCTAACCTTCCCCTCATCTTCCCGTTTAAGTCTCTAGTGCTCGTGGGTTTCACCGAGGTGGTAAACGTCTGAGACCTGCATCACTTCGGGCTCTCCTCCCACATTAAGCTGACTTGCCGTGACTGGAATACTGTTAAAAGCGGCGTTAGACCCAACTCACTCACTCACTTTACCTTCAACAAGGAAGTCAAGTTTCCAAAGTTGGGTGTTACATGGTGAAAATATGAATGGTGATGTTTCAGCCAATCATCACGCTTATCATGCCATTATGTATCGGGAATAAATAAGAACTTTCGTCCACGTTCTAATAAAAAAAAACAATGCCTGTCCCTTGCCTCAAATAGTACCAACAAATGTTATACTTGGGATAGCACTTTCTTAGTAAAGTACAGATTATGTACGCCCTCGAACCCACAATCTCAGAGCGAGGCACCAAATCACAACCACACAAAATCAGCGATCTAACCCACTCAGCCACAAAAAATGGAAGTCTGGCAATTGGTGGTCTAGATCACGTACTTTGTGTACCCCTCTGACAAGTGTAAACTTGCACGGCTCCCATGGCCGAAAGCTATGAATACACAATGCCTCATAGAAAGTGGTAAAATGTAACAAAGGACTAAAATGTGTACTTTAATGAGAAAATGTTACCCAAATGGAACATTTGTTACATTTGACCACTTTCCAAAATGGCATTGTGTATTTAGTACCATATATGTTATCAATAAATAGTATAAAAAATGCATCCCATATAATTTTAGCGAGTTTAGAATTGTTAAATATGACTCATACTGTTTTACTGATATCAGTATGTTATGATGTATCCATTTGTTGTAGAGCAGGGCATGCTTACCCTTTTCCAGAACACCTGGTGTTATCACTGTTTGTTTGTTTGTTTGTTTGTTTGTTTAACGCCGCACTCAGCAATATTACAGCTTAATGACGGCAGTCTGTAAAAAATCGAGTCTGGACCAGACAATCCAGTGATTTACATCAGGAGCATCGATCCCAAGTCAGTGAGTCTGACCACCCGATCCCGTTAGTCGCCTCTTTTCACAAGCAAATTCGCCTTTTACGGCAAGCATGGGTTGCTGAAGACCTATTCTAACCCGGGTCTTCACGGGCCGTGGTATCACTGATTTACAGTCATCCCGTTATATAAGTTTCAATACATTTGACCTCATACGCCCGAAGGAATCTGTTTCGGCAGGTTATCGAGACTTATTATTCTGTGGCGTTTTGAATTTATTATCCATTTCACAAAAGTCAACTTTACCTTTACTTCTAGCAATATTCCACAAGCTTCAGCCTTTGGTGTCTGCATTTCATAACATTTAGGTATAGCATGGCATGCTCTTTCTATTATGATTAAAGAAATCGTCATACGAGTCTTTCTCAAAAGGGGCGGTTGGGTAGCCTAGTAGTTAGAGCGTTCGCTCGTCACGCCGAAGACCCGGGTTCGATTCCCGACATGGGTACAATGTGTGAAGCCCATTTCTAGTGTCCCCCGCCGTGATATTGCTGGAATATTGCTAAAAGCGGCGTTAAACCATACTGACTCACTCACTTTCTCAAAAGTTGTTAAACGAAAGTTGCAACATTCAAAGCATCAGTAAGCTTTCATATATTTGTATGGTACGCATCAGCGAGGAACATTATGTAGTTTTAACTTGTACCAAATGATCCTGTGTTTTATCAGGTTAACAATTGACTTGCCTTTGCATGTATTTATGGCGGGTGCCCAAACAGGATACGCTCATCTTTTCGCGATCACCTGGTGTCGTCACTACTTGATAGTGATCATAAACGCATGCTCATGATACAATCGGGGTCGTACACTAATGGAGATTTGATTTGATTGTGGAAATGGTTTGTTGCTTTTATTAAGCCATTAGAACAATAAGTTGACATCCTTGATGTGAGTGTGCGTGTGCGTGTGCGGGTGCGTGTGTTGATGTGCGCGGGTATATTTGTCTCTTTTCAGCATTCTTTTATTCAGGAAAGATAGTGTTCAATACTTTCTGCATCGTGTTTGTTAAGTATTTATGGAGAAGCGGTTGTCGCGATCAAGTGTTTGGACAGTTTTCATAACTCTGACCCTTGACTTGTTACAAACACAAGTGCATATTCTGATCGAGGCAAAATGAAAACTGTTTGTGTAAACATCTTCATTTGAAACAGGACGCTTGGCTGTTCACATGATGAACAACTCGTCTTCTGAATAAATGCATATATGTCAGACACTGTGTGTTTCTGTGTTCTTTTAACATTGGTTGTCCTCCGTGCAGTTTCATCAGTGTGCTTGTGAACAATGCAGTACCTCCACAATACCCTCCCATCCACCTGACGCCAGTATGCTACATATTACCCTCTATGGCCGACGAGAAGTGATATGTTTGGTTTGTTGTTCAGGAGAAGTGATCTGTTTGTTTGTTGTTCACAAGAAGTGATCTGTTTGCTTATTTGTTTGCTTGTTGTTCACGAGAAGTGATCCGTTTGTTTGCTTGTTGTTCACGAGAAGTGATCTGTTTGTTCGCTTGTTCACGAGAAGTGATCTGTTTGTTCGCTTGTTGTTCACGAGAAGTGATCTGTTTGTTCGCTTGTTCACGAGAAGTGATCTGTTTGTTTGCTTGTTGTTCAGGAGAAGTGATCTGTTTGTTCGCATGTTGTTCACGAGAAGTGATCCGTTTGTTTGCTTGTTGTTCACGAGAAGTGATCCGTTTGTTTGCTTGTTGTTCACGAGAAGTGATCTGTTTGTTCGCTTGTTCACGAGAAGTGATCTGTTTGTTTGCTTGTTGTTCACGAGAAGTGATCTGTTTGTTCGCTTGTTCACGAGAAGTGATCTGTTTGTTTGCTTGTTATTCAGGAGAAGTGATCTGTTTGTTCGCTTGTTCGCGAGAAATGTTCTGTTTGTTTGCATGTTCACGAGAAGTGATCTGTTTGTTTGCTTGTTAACGAGAAGTGATCTGTTTGCTGGTTGTTCACGAGAAGTGATCTGTTTGTTTGCTTGTTCACGAGAAGTGTTCTGTTTGTTTGCTTGTTCGCGAGAAGTGTTCTGTTTGTTTGCATGTTCACGAGAAGTGATCTGTTTGTTTGCTTGTTAACGAGAAGTGATCTGTTTGTTCGCTTGTTCACGAGAAGTGATCTGTTTGTTTGCTTGTTCACGAGAAGTGTTCTGTTTGTTTGCCTGTTCACGAGATGTGATCTGTTTTTTGCTTGTTCACGAGAATTGATCTGTTTGCTTGTTGTTCACGAGAAGTGATCTGTTTGTTTGCTTGTTCACGAGAAGTGATCTGTTTGCTTGTTGTTCACGAGAAGTGATCTGTTTGTTTGCTTGTTCACGAGAAGTGTTCTGTTTGCCGCACTCATCACTCTTCCAGCTATATGACGGAGGTCTGTAAATAATCGAGTCTGGGCCAAGCAGTCCGATGATTGACATCATGAGCATCGGTCTACGCAATTGGAATACGATGACATGCATCAATTAAGTCAGCGAGTCTGACCATCCGATCCTTTTAGTCGACTCGTACGACAAGCATGAGGCCAGTTATTGAGAACATTTGACTTAAACTGATTTTGCAGACGTAGTGATAATATCTCCTTGACAACTATACAACTAGCCCAGCGTTTTACACAGTGATGTATGTCGTCCTGACCCAGAAGCCTGGCAGACGAGATTTTGTAACATGAAAAGATTATATTGTGTCCAAGGTTATACACATATTTACGGACGTGAATTAACGAGAAAACACGTAGATCGTGACGAGACTATAATAATAACAATAGGAATAATACCGCACACTGCACCATGTGTTTACTTTTCGCCAGTTTTTCAGTAACATGCGTGAGCAACGAATAATCCCTAAAGATAAGAGAGTGGGAAATCACGAAGTGATTCAAGTCAACTACATTGTGACGATTTATCTATTATTCATAATGTCAACAACATCCTCTCTCTGGATGACGACATGTTGACAATGGCGTAGGGATACATTGAATAGTTGTCACGTGCGCACGCCTCAGACGAACAGGCCAAAATAAACCTGCTGAAAGAAAGTAAACACAGATTGCAACATTCTTTTTTTATAATGTGACAACAACATGGAGATGTTTCCATAAGAAGATGATTCTTTAAATAAATTATTGGTACAGTTCTTTCTAATTAAATTAAATCCATTAGTCAAAATTCAACTAACAGTGTTTGGTATTTCCAGCTATTTGAAGGAAACCTGTACATCATAGAGTCTTGAATAGGTGAGGTGCGGTGAAATGGAATTTAACGTCGCGTCCAAGATTATTGCACTTAGCGACGTGCATGCACGTGTGTGTGTGGCTGCTTGTACTAGTCCGGACTGATGCCAATTTATAGTGCTAGCTCACTGAGATACCATGCCGCAGTTTAACATGAATACCCCACTCAGACAGAATATACTGACTCCGAGCCGACAAGTCCTTGCTTTAGCCCCTTAATGCCGAGCGCCAGACAGGGTCACAAGTACTAACAACAAGTACCATTTTTAACGCCTTTTGGAATGACGCGGCCGGGGATCGAATCCCGGGCCTTCCGCTCTCCGGGCGGACGCTCTACCACTAGGCCACGGAGGCGGTCGAGTCTGGAATAGACAAGTCAGTGATGATATTATATGCAATGTCTGGCGCCGTCGAAATACGACTACGCGCATTCAACAAAGTAACCGAGCCTAACCACCGATCTAATGGATCCCATATCGACAATGAAACAATAAATAAAACGAGGACTGTCTCCGTTTACATTCAGCACCTTGATTTCAGCGGTATTTTCTAATAGTCATGTCGAAATCGGGGATTGGACGCTCAAAGTTTTGAACCAACAGTGACCCTTACAACCCCAACATCCCTTTCTGGATCCTTTCTGCTCCATGTAAATAATATCATTGGACGCGCAGTTCGATGACACAAGATCTGTAAGACACCCTGTAAATGTTTTGTATTGTGTATTCAGTTTTTCAGGGCGAGCTACATGTAGAGTCGGTGAGCTATTACAACTATTAAGTTATGTAACTACTAAGGTATAGAACACGTTTTATATGATTGGAGTAGTGAAATATAAAATGTTTTCTTACCCTTACGTAAAAATAATCATTACTGTTTATTTATTTAATAATTGGGTCCAAATTGTTTTATTGCCACCATATACTTCCTGAAAGTTCCCCAGCTGGCATAGCCCCGTGTTTAAAGGGTTAAGGGTGAGTGAGTGAGTATGGTTTTACGACGCTTTTAGCAATATTCCAAAAATAATCACGGCGGGGACACCAGAAATGGGCTTCACACATTGTACCCATGTGGGGTATCGAACCCAGGCCTTCTGCGTGACGAGCCAACACTTCAACCACTAGGCTACCCAACCGCCCCATTTTATTTCCGTTCAACTGAGGTACATGTCTCACTGCAAAAGCGCCATGACATATTTTGTATGGTACCGGGCTGATCAATGTCAGAAAACAACTGTCATTCAAAGGTAATGAAATACGCATCATGAAATAATATAGCCGCTTCATGTTTAAGCCCTCGCGAGTACACATGAAAATTAATAAGATAGAAAAAAAAATGCCATCTTGAAGATGAAGCTCTTGCCTAACGAAATCAGATAATGATGACAATGTTCAATATTGCCTGGATGACAGCCTCTTCCAGCACGGTCAAAGGGCAATTACTGCCACTACTGGTCCAATGCTGCCGGTAAAGATGCCAGAATCTGCACTGGGGGATACCTTGCCTGTAACCGACGTCCAAACATTTCCAGTGTACCCATGTCGGGAATCGAGCCCGGGTCTTCGGCGTGACGAGCGAACGCTTTAACCACAAGGCTACCCGACCGTCCTAAAGGGTTAAGAAAAATCGTAAGTCTCTAAACGTCTTCTCGAGTAGTCATAAATTTAGAAGTGTACTCTTAGTGCTAAATATGTTTA